TTGCACTAATAAAAGCTTACGTAACAATAACAAACTGATTTTACCTAAATGTCGTTTGGCTAAAGTTAGTAATTCGTTTTATGGCAATTGCGTAAGGTTTTACAATAAAATACCAGAGTCTGTTATAAATCTGCCAGAAAAAAGATTTAAATGTCAAATAAAACACTTCTTTTGCAAAAAAGCTTACTATAAAATTGAAGAATTCGTTAACGATAATAATGTTTTTGTAGAAAAATTTTAAATACATAGCACTGACAATATTATCTGATTACACTAATAATGAGTGCGTAGCGATTTCTATGTTGATTGTCGCATGCCTCTTACTTGTTACACTGTAATTATTTATATAAAAAAACATCTATTGAAAAGAGCAACACACAAGTTTCTTGCTCATTCTTCTTGTGATGAATCTGCATTCCGAATGAGCGGTAGAATCAAAATATGACTATTCAAAAGTGCTTGTAATGAGTTTATTTGAATAAAGATTATTTCTATTTCTATTTCTACTTTTTTTAATTATTACTTAATGATGGATATATTGATTGCAAACTTAGAGCTGCGGGAGAGGGAGATCTCTGCTTATTTTTTTTTTAATTATAGGGCTATCTATAATTTAAAAAAAAATAAGCAGAGATCAGCATTCAGCATTGTGAGCGAATGATATATAAATATTCACCATAACGCCAAAAGTCAAAGAAATGTGTCTATCTAACCCTTTAGTCTAACAGACATAGTCATAATAATATGTTTATACAAAGAATTGTTAAGTTGTGTAGATTTTTTTTCTGAAGGTTCTAATATTGTGTAGAGATAATGAATAAGATCTGTAATTACTTATAACATCTAATAAAATATAATGTACAAATTTTAATTACCTGATAACTTTGGATTTGGTGTCCCATTATCCAGATCATCAACTTTGTTCTCGTAATTATCTCGCGTTGAATACAATTCCTCAAGTTCATGATCAGATTTTAACCTTATTTGTTTCAAAATTCTTATATCAAAGCCACGTAATTCTGATATCCACTGAGATTCGTTTAAAAATAGAGACGTTACTAAAATTGAAATTAATTCAATATTCAAAATTGTTGTCTTCAAGTAAAGCACTATTTTCGAAATATACATACGTTTTTATTTTATTGTACTTTATTTAATATTATATATATTTTATGATAACATATTACACTTATCTTAACGGCATGTCCCTTATACTATTATGGGTTAAATTAATATAACTCTTTATTTAACCCATAATGGTAATATGTTTACCACGGCTTTATCTTTTTCATGCTTCTAAACACAACTGTTTCGGCTCTGCATTGATAAATTGGTTATGATTATAGACATTTTCAAGCTTCGTCCGCTTTCATCCCTCGTATAACTAATAATATGTCAGTGGGGAGAGGATTATTAGTCACCTCATTACGGTGCCTCCAGATAATAATCGTTAATTCCTTGCTGAATCCTTGCTTACCTGACCAGCCAGCGTATAGCTGGCTGGTCAGGTAACAGGCAGGCAGGTCAGGCACAGGTGGGTGAACAATTCAGTAACCATAAAAATAAACAGCATATCTGTAGCATACCTATATGTGCCGAGGCCTATGCTTGTTAGCATACGACTGTGTTATTATGATTATGCAACGTGAACCACGTAGTATTTATATCCTACATGGCTTCGATATGCCCAAACCGAAGCTCTGGAGTATAGTTTTCTCATTCCATATTATATTCAATATAATACCATACCTAAAACAGTACAGGAATTGGTACCAGATACTCACATATTTTATTTCTCCGGTCCTCAGGATTTTGATCACGATTAACCATCTCCCTAAAAAAATCAATCACTTCGTCATTTTTCTTCAATATTAATTCTAAATATTTTATTACAGAAAGTGGCAATTCATTTCGCTTTTCTTCGAGAATACTTTTCAAATTCACTGCAAAAAAATCATTATGATATATCTGAACGAATAACAATTTTAAAAATACTGGCTGGTAATTGGTAACAGGCCATTAAGACATGCATAATTAAAAAATCTTACCATTCACTAGAAATAATCCGAATTCAAAATTCATATCGACGTCATATTTGAAGTCATATGCAAAATAAATAATGTGTCTTAATGATCGTAAATATTTAACCAAGCCCCGTTTGGAAAAGATATCGCCATTTATCTTTATATGTTTATTGTTTACGTGTTTTTCATTTAATGACTTTATTTCATTGAAATGTTGACAAAATACGATTACATTAATGAATATACTTAAAAATATTAAAGTCAAATACGAACACATAATAATTCAACAAGCACTTTGTGCTATTTTAAATCTATATCTACTTATATATATCATTCAAACTGAAAATTATATCCGTTATCCTTCCTACTTAGAACAGACACTTGATGGTGTCCGAATTCAAATGAATACTGTAGATTTCCCTTGCGACGATCTCGGTTTTATCTCCTCAGAGAAGATTAAAGTGAAAAATGTACCAAGATTTGTCGTAGGAAGGTACACAAAATTAAATTGATATTATAAATAAATGAACAGATAATGAAGAACATGAATAAATAACAGAATTAAAAATCACTACTTACCTAACTATCTGAATGTAATTTTTGTCGATAATTCAAACAATCATTCATGATAAGAAACTGAAATGTTTATTTATAATGACGAATAACACAGTTGCATGAAATTAAATTAGTTGGCTAAGCTAGATAATGGAAATTAATAATTGGTATTTCTCATAACAAACAAATTATATTCGCAAAGGTGTGATAGAAATCCACCTGTCCTTTAAAATATTGTTTTGATTTTTTCCTTAATTTTAATCTACATATAGGTAGCTAAACAGTTAACTGAAAATAATCAAATTAATATTATTTATTTTTATATAATATTTTTCGTAATTGAAGAGTTAGTCGATGAAGTTTTTGCTGTGCCATTCCTATAGTTAAGTTAAAAATTTTAGGTCTATAAATTATTGATTAGACTATTAAACCGCTACTATAACAATTTTGTTCTATGTTCATAACATAAATATTAATTATTAGCGGTATAATAGTAATGAAATAACACTAAGCGTGACATGAAAATTACATAGATATTTTTAACTACTCTTAACTATACTTTAGGTAGATATGCCAAATTAATTTACTTGTTTACATTTATAACGGTCTGTGTTATAGTGATAGTAAATATATAATAGAATATTTTACTGTTAAGTTATTGTGTTTTAGGATGTAATAGTTTGTTAAGATCTGGTTTTTGTGGAATTATAATAATAATAATAAAACTCTTTATTGTGTACACATAAAATAATGAGAAAATACAGTAAATAGTAAAATAATAGCAAATGGCGGTCTTATCGCTAAATGCAATCTCTTACTGACAACCTAGAAGAGAGGACTTATGTACATAGAATAGGGTAGGTGACACACATAAGACACTATTTATTATACTACTGGATATACATACTTACATTAGGGATAAATATATAAACCTACATATATACATACATATATACTACATATTGGAAGAAATGAGAAAAAAAAAATAAAATAAAAACATGTACTATGAAGAGAGATAATGAGATCTTAGTCTATTATTAAATGATGCATGTGTTTGAGCTGATCGAATGGAGAGTGGTAGAGAGAATTATATATGTATTTGCTTCGAACGTTCGCGACAAATTACAGTAAAAAGAATTTGCGTGTTATTTCTAACAGGCGTTTTTTTTGTCGAATTAAATATTAATACAGAACGGGGTTATAGGGACCAGTATTTTTCAATTCGTTTGGTCTAATTTGTCAGATGTACATATAATACATACTTATCCATGTTGTTACCTTTATACAGAACAAATTCCTAATTTTTGCATCCCCTGTAGGTAGGTGATTATTGAATATGTATCGTATGTATTCAATATCTGAGTTATGAGTAGGTACATAAATATATGCTTATTTGCCACCATCGTAGTATAAAGAAAATATTTTACAAATTGTTATAAGGTCTTTCTATCATGTTTATCTGTCCGATAATTTTTGTATTTCAACGATGAAACGACTGAATATATCTTAACGAAATTTGATCTTACGGTCTTTGAACTAAGAACTAGTTTCTCAGAAAGTATATTGTATTCTATACACACAAATGAAATACCTACTATGTTATTTGATACACTCTGATCCGAGTTTATTAAAATGGATCGCAGTGATTTGGAAAGCTTCCAGTAAATTATTGCGAGGATAAACCTCGCCACAGGCGGTTTGCCGCGCTCCCATCACTGTATACTGTAATATCTTGTCGACCGCTATAAATTATTATTAAGTAAGCTTTGAAATAAATCTAGCAATCTAATTTTACTGCTAAGATAAGATATTAAAAAATATATAATAAAACAGTTTCTTTTTTAGAAAGCGAAAATAAATAATATATTTCATTTTTATGGTATTAGGCACTAGTGTTTTCCACGCGGACGAAGTTACAGGTACAGCTAGTTTAAAATAAGAATTTTAAACGACCGTTTTACTAAAATGACGTGCGTCACAGAGTTCATTTCATCCACACCCAGAGAGAAGGTTGGGGATTCGGGGTAACCTCTTTGCCTTGGCATCTGCTCTGGTAACAACGTCTCCTCCAACTGAGTTGTGAGCCTGTTAATTTTAATATTAGTGCCATACTTGGGAATTATATTTTTCTATACATTTTTAGTTTTTTTTATATGTAAAACTATGACACTTTTGCAATTACACTTGCCAAATGTTACCTATCGAAATTAAGATAGATAATGCAAGAAACTTTTGTCACTTGTAGATTGTACGCTGTTGTACTGCAATTGTTAAGTAATTCATACATTTTCATGCTACTTCTAATGATAATTGATTGGCTTGCATATAAAACCTCAGAACGCATTGATTACAATGCCGAAGTAATTTCATTCTAGCAACACTAACTTCGCGGCTGTCAGCTAGTTTGACATATTCAACAAAGTGTCAAGGCAGTCTACCATTTTGACTTGTCATCTTTCGTACCTAATCTGATACTGAAATATTAACTTTTAATTTTAATAGAATATAGTAAATAAAATGGTTTTAGCTACAGTTATTGAAAATGAAGCTCATTTCCAGTCGGAAATGACAAATGCCGGCACCAAATTAGTCGTTGTAGACTACACTGCCAGTTGGTAAGTTAACCTTTTCCCATTCAAAATCCCAAGTCATCGTCCTACATTTTTTGTTAGTATAAAATTCTTATTTACTTTTAAAGGTGTCCACCATGCCAACGAATCGCTCCGTTCTTTGAACAACTACCAAATAAGTTTCCGAGGGCTTTGTTCTTAAAAGTGGACGTAAATAGATGTACTGAAACTGCCAGCGCCCAGGGTATCTCGGCAACACCAACATTTGTTTTCTACAGAAACAGAGTAAGTGACTACTTATTTTTTCTGTGTATGATATAAAGGCTGCTCCCACCTGCGCTAACGCGATACTGCTATTTATCGGCGAAAAATTATGAGAAAGAAGGCAAGGCCCATCATATTGAAATTACCACAATTATTTCCTATGGGATCATGTGAATGTCACCTGAACTATAAACCTATTGTCAATTAAGCCCCTAATCCTGCCCCCCTCTCACAGCGAAGATAATTTTATACTATTTTATTTGTCCAAAGCTTTGAGACAAAGGTAACTTATAATAACACTGAAATGTAATGTTTCATTGTTTATAATTTAAAGACTTATTTTATACTTTAATGGTTAAGAATGGTAAAATATAAATTCATTAGTTATGATTATATACATTATTTGTATGTAAATGAGGAATGGAAAAGAAGCTGATGGTCAACCTCATGATAAGTGGCAATCACCAAATATATAGAGACGAACAGTAATTTTAATGACACATTGCAGTCATAATCTGATATCCATGGATATACCACTCCTCAGCATTTTTTATAATTGTAAATTATAAAAAATGCTGAGAATGTAATTATTACCCTACAACTAAAATACAGACAAAGCAATCGGGTCAAATTATAACTTTTTAAAATATATAATTAATCCTATTATGTATTTTAAAATGTTGGTCTAGTTGTGGGTTGTATTACTTAGAATGATAGAAAGATTATGATTTTTTGTATGTATGTTTGAATATCTATGTATTTATATAATTTATCTAGACATAATACAGGCTATGCTTAGCTTGCGATTAGACAACCGTGAATTGTCTTGGTGTTATTATATTGTTACTTATTCTAGACGCGGATTGATCGCCTACAAGGTGCTGATCCTGCTACCTTAGAGAATAAGGTCAGACAATACTATGGCACAGAGGAGTCCAACGATGAAGACAATTCTGTTGCAGGCCATGTTAGTATATATTTTATTTAATCTGTTAATTACATATTACTTATATATACTTAGATATATTTAAAAAATGTGAGAAGTTTACATGTTAAATTAATACTATAAATAATTAAAATATTTACTTACATAAATTAACAATTCTCTGATATAAGAGATAGAAACTTTTTATATGAAATTGATTAAATTTATTGATTATTTTTCTTAGAATATATGTTTTTTAAATATTTCATTAATGTATAACTGTTGGTTACAGATGGATCTGGCCACATTCATCACAAAGAGTGAATGTGAGTGCTTAAATGAGGCTGATGATCATCCTCTGGCACATTGCCTTACCAGCGGCGGTGGATACTTAGCTAGTGATTGTGATGAACAACTCATCATCAACATAGCCTTCAACCAGGTAAATAGAATTTACTATAATGTAATAAAAATATAATAAAAAATATTAAACTTAATACACACATTATTACTTTGTACAAAATATGTATTTGAATTTAAATATAATACATAATAATTTCAGTTGGTGAAATTGCATTCAGTAAAAATCAAGGGACCCGCAGATAAGGGGCCCAAATGTGTAAAACTGTTCATCAACCAGCCAAGAACACTTGATTTTGATCAGGCTTCTGGTAATGCATCTATTCAAGAATTGGAGTAAGTATTTAAATTAGTGGGTTAGTTTGTTTACTATCACTAGTATGTATTCATTCCTGAAGTCTGTAACTTAACCTCAGTATTGCAACCATCTGGACATAATAACAATAATATTTTATTTCAGAGTAACTCCAAGTGACCTGGAAGGCAATCCTATTCCATTGAAATTTGTGAAATTCCAAAGTGTTCAAAATATTCAATTATTCATAAAAGACAACCAGTCTGGAGATGATGTGACCCAAATTGATCATCTTGCTTTCTATGGATCACCAATCTCTACAACCAATATGGGAGAATTCAAGCGTGTGGCAGGTAAAAAGGGTGAGAGTCACTAGCGTTTACTTACCCTGTGCAGGCGTACACAAATATAAGGATGGTTCAGTTCAGTGTAATATGCGACTACCCCATAAACCATACAGTGTATCTTGCAATAGGTTGGAAAATGAAATGGACATTATTGTGTTACTTATAGTATTGCTGTCTATATATCAAAATATCAATAAAGGATTTTTGAAATTTGCCCATAAATTAAATGGACATTGTGTTACTTATAGTATTGCTGTCTATTTATCGAAATATCAATAAGGATTTTTGAAAATTGCCCATACATGAAATGGACATTATTGTGTTAACTATAGTATTGTTGTCTATTTATCGAAATATTAATAAAGGATTTTTGAAAATTGCCCATATAGAATACCAATAAAGTGTATTTATAAAAGTTTTCAATAATGTAAAATATGGGCAATTTCAAATTTGTATACAAATATAGATCTGCAGGAGAACTTTTGACGAAATCAAATGAGGGATCAAATCACATTGAGTATATGACATATTCAACGTAATATTCTCTTTTATAATTTTGTTTCATACAAATCATTAAATGCTATATTATACACAGTGAGTACTGCTGAAAAAGGGGCCGGAGAAATATAAATATTGCAGTAAATTTGAGTTTCGTTAATTTATTTTATAAAGGTATTATCTGAGATTTGTACATTACATGGTGTATAGACTGACAGTTGAATTTCAATAGACCATATAAATATCATTTCATTTCGATTCCATTAATCAAAAGTTAGCCTGCTGTATCATACCTAGCATTGTAATCGAATTTGAAATAAACTTGACTGTTAATAGATATTCATACTACATATATACATTACTGTACTGTACTCTATATTGATACGAATTTTAAGCATGTCTATAACTAATGTTTATCTGTAGAACAACATTTCTCTTAGCAAGTTATTACATTATCAAATATTTATTGTCTGCTAAAATATTTTGTAAATTTATTTCATTTTAGTTTCGTCCCTGTATTTAGAACTCAGAAATGTGCACATACTATTTATTTGATATAATAATAACCTCTACAATAGCGATGACAGTGGTCTCATGTTTATCATAGTAATAGCTAATAATATTTGTCAATGGGTAAATTATGTTATTTAAGTAAAACCGTAGAATATTATTTTCATCTGGATGTTTTGGACTTATTATAATTATGTTATTAATTTGGGTTCTCGCAAGAATTTACACTAAAAATCTAACTGAACTGTTTGCGGCATTTTATTTGTTAATTTAATGTTATTATAAAGTGGGATCATTTTTCAAACTGTGTCAAAACATAGTTAATGTGATTTTTTTATATATATGTATATTTCATATATTTATGAAATGATATGACATAATTATAAGTGTAAGGTCATTCCGTAGGCCACAGTTTGTTAAATGGAATCTTAAGAATATCAGGAATTTGTATATTCAATAAATAAAAAAGATACTGTAAGAACTTATTAGTTTTAATATTTAGCTTAATATTAATCCTGTTTCAATTCATATATCTGAATGTATGCTTCAGTCAGTGTGATCATCTGTGGCAGTATGCTGGTTACATGGAGATCTTGCATTTCATACCTAAAACCAAAATTTATATGGTTTCATATGCTACTATAAAATGGAATTTTCATTTCAATTATTATTCTAAAAAATAAAAAAAATATGTTAGGGGTATGAAAAACAGATATAGTAGCCGATTCTCTGACCTAATGAATATGCATTTGAAATTTCATAAAAATTGGTTAAGTCATTTGGCAGCAGTATGTTAACTAACATTGTGACAGGAGAATTTTATTTATAAGAAGTTGATAAAATTACATAATACGTTAAAACAACAACTGTTTTATAAATATACAATATTAAATATATAAAGCCTTACCATTGCTGAGTTGGTTTATGTAAAACATGTGCTCTGTAGGTTCCCTTCTCTGGTGTACCGTCATGGACCATGTTCCCGACCAGTTCATATATTGTTTTACCATTATGTTTTGCTTTCACTTCCGGAGTGAGGATATCGCCAAAGTCTACATTCCTGAAGTAAAAAAAATAAAATTATTTTTACAATTACTGTTATGTAGTAACCTCATGACCCAAAAAAGAGTATAAGCAAAACCTAATTACAAAGTAGTTGCCATTGCAGTGAAGGTGTCGTGGACCTGTGTTTTTATATCTACCCAGTTTAGACTATTCAAATCAAATTTCTATTTACGACTGACTCTTCGGCGATGGAAACACCAATAAGAAACCAAACCAGGCAAGAGAGGAGACAATAAAAATTATAATAACAGTTGGCATTATTAACGTGCGTATTCACATGACGTCGACACATGATATCTGTGACTATCCTTACTCTAAGATAACAGTCGTGATGGTATATTTATGGAATGCATTATTTTATTTTCCATTGCTCTAAAAATATGTAAATCAGGATATATTGTCAAATTGTGTAAAAAGGTGGTGTCAAAATCTGCATTAATAGTATAAAGTAACAAATAATCTACACAACCATTGTAAACACAGCATTCTCTCTATTAAGTTATTATATAAAACCTCAACGTTTCATTGAGGTTTAATTTACATATATTAGAATGATAACATAAATAGCACTTACTTGACTGGAAAGTTTACAACTGTGGGATTCTTTTCAACGAAAAATGTATTTTTAGTGAATCTTTTAATGTACAATATTAGATATGGCGGGAGTTGTGTTATTTCAAACCTTTTCATAAAGTTCTCTTTGTATGTTTTATATTCTTTTGATGCCTGTCCATTAAACTTTGATAATAATTGGTAGAGATTTACCTGAAAATACCAAAATATAATTAAAAATTTAGTAAGATATTATAAAAAAAGTGTCAGTTATTTGTACTTATCAGTTAATTGTTTATTAACTAATATTTTTATGCGTCTTCAGAAATGGTAGGTAGATACATTTGTGAAGACACATCTAATACGTAAAATTCTCATGTCACAGGTTTCGTGTTTATGCTCCTCCGAAACGGCTTGACTGATTTTGATGCATTTTTATATGTATATTCAGTAAGTCTGAGAATAGATTTATAATTAATTTTTATACCGATTTTAATTTATAGTGCAAAACAATGTTTGCTACAACGTTATTACTAACGGACCCACCGTTAATAATAATATGAAAAAACATAAAAAAACAAAATCATACCTGTGGGATGATGTTTTCTCTAAACTCATCTGTGAATAATGGTGTAGGTGGTAAATCACACGTCAAAAATAGAAATGGCGATTCTGTTATCATCTCATTGTATTCTTCACTGTTGAGGTCTACCTTAGCTGCTTCTTCACCATCTGGTGGCGGTAACTTCCTAAAATTGATTAACCATTTCATAAATAGAATTTCTAATAAAACCTCGCAATTTATAATCATTAGGTTTAAAAACAATGTACATATGCACATTCTAAGAATTAAATTGTAAGCCGATTTCACAAATTAGAAGACCAGTGGACCAAGCAATTCGGTACATATTTTTTAACTAAATATCAAAGTATGCCCAAATATAAATTGTTAATAACAATAAATTTCATTTCAATTGAATGATTTATTGAATTGAATAGATTTATACAAAAGAATTATTTTAAAATTGTACCTACTTTTTAAATGACTTACTTACCTTAAATTAATGGTTAAAACATCACAATAACAGAAAAATAGAATAATGTTACCTTGTATATATTCTCATGTGTCCTAGAAATGACTTGTAGATAATTGAACTGTTAGGTTTCTTGGTCCCATTAAGTGCCATATGCAAGGAGTTGAGAAACCATGACAAAAAATCAATGGGATCACCTGTAATCATGGATGGTATAGTATTAAATGGTGATGGTATAATACCTAAATAGTAAAAAGTAGAAAATAGGCAGTGTTAGACTTATGTGGGATTCTTAAATTCAAAATACATTATAAATACAAATACACAACATAACTGGTAATTAATATAACTTTCAAAACAAAAGTAAATGAATGAAGTAATAAAGCAAAACAACCATTACTACAGTGGATACAGGGTGACATTTGTGTTTATGTAATCCAGATGTAATAAATTACTCACTTTGTTTGATAAATTGGAATCTCTTTTTAGACCACAGTACAACAGCTTGAAGCATCTCATGTGGGGATACATGAGCCTTGAAAGCTCTAGGATTCCACAATTTGCGTAGTAGCTCACCAAACCGTTGCACTAACAAGAATGACGAATCACCTGGTGGTCTTTTTACATTAGCATAGTTTTCTTCACGTAAAAAATAATTGCGCAGTGGCCTCACCTGTGATAGGCACTGAAAAATATTAAAATCTTGCTTTTTAAGATGTTTCAGTTGAATGGTGCAGTCACACTGGATAAATCATAATAAGTCAGATTACGCACAGCCACCTTTCGAAATTTAAACCTATCCACAGTCATCACAAAGGGTGATATAAAAGCAGTAAAATTATGGTATGACATCTTAGTTATCCAGAATGGCATCACATGTTAACACAATATCACTATACTTTACTGAACTAATTAAAATAAGCCACAGCTACAAAATTCCACAATGTCTCTCAAACACTAGTAAATGTTAATGTTGGCAAAATCACCTATCAAAATTCATGGCAGTCATATAAAATAAAGAACAAGAATACAATGTCTATAGTACTGGCCATGTATAGAGGTGATCCACATCTAGGCAGCTTGTTTGCTTATTCCAGTTACATAAAGAAATTAAAGAAAACATATTACCTGCAATATAACATTACAATAATCATTAGCCTTAATGTTGTTAAGACCCACAATTCCAGGCATATACATTGTACCATCAATAGCTCTTGACATTTTTGTATCTGAGTCCAACTGCTTTATCTGCTCCATAGTAAATATAGGGTTCAGAACATACTTGATATCATTTAGAGATGAATCTGTAAAATGTGAAAATATTACTCAAACATTTTTCAAAATGTTTATTTCTAATGTTACTTTTAGAACTATAAAACAGAAAAAGATGGCAGTGAACAATTTAATTCTTAAAAAAATTATATATTATAACAGTATTAGTTAAAAATAAGTAAGTAATTGAGTTCAGTCCTTTGAATAAGAATCAAAGATTTTGGATCTTCTAAATTTTACTGTTAATTAAATTCAATATTCATATACTCATAATAAAGAATTATTATGTTATGTATAAACAAATGTTAAAGTATTATAAATGACTAAATTCTTTCCTTTTGGATACACTTACTGAATATCTGATTGGGAATATTTACTTTACAAAAATTACAACAAATAGTGGCATACCAACCTATAACTTCATAATTATCAGGCAGACAGTAGAACTTTAAAGTATGTAGGTTCAGGAATACATGATGACCATCAGCCACAGAATGGGTATAAGCATGTGTATTGGTACCACGGCCCTTGAATGTTAAAACAATTTAAATGTATTTTTAAACTTACAATAAATAGTTTCGTTTCATTAAATTCAGCTCATTCAAATACAGGAAATGAATCCTGATATGTGTTACAGGTGAATTGAGAAGACTTGTATAACATACTGACACTGTATTTTACAAATATAAAAATATTTTAATTTTAATTAAACATCACTTAAAGTATCCTTATACTAGAGTAGGTAATCCTTGTAACTTCTACTCCAGGGGACAAATATGTACTTCTTTGTAACACCAATGATTTTGTTAAGAGCCTCAATAGTAAAAATAAACACGATAATAAATTTATTTTTAATATCTCATGTTCCATTGTTCTTTAAATTTTAAAATTATATGAATGACAAACCTGGAAATACTTCCCACAGACCAAGCAGGCGTAAACATTGATACGAGTTAAAGAAACTGAACATAATTTCTCGAAATCAAAATCCAATACATGTCTGTTGATAGTATCCAAATAGGGGCACTGAATATGTACAGTTTTGGACGCTGGTTCTGAAATAATATTTTTTATTGAATTCAAAAAAGTGTAAATGTATTCTAACTTCATAGGTTAGAATACGGAATATTACTTACCCAAGAACTTAGTACCATTTTCTTCGGACAACTTCCGTTTCTGCGACATTATTTCATATGCGTAAAAGCTTTTAAATCATGTATGTTTTTTATTAAGTTAAGATAAGATATATTTCATTAAAACAAACATTAACAATTTTCTGTAAAAGTACAGAACACGTACCGACTACAGTTCTATGCTGTTTACAGTTTAAGTGCTCTGTGCTAAAACGCAAATGATAAATTGTCACAGAGCAATTAATATTACTTTTGTAAACCGCTCCTATTGTATCGCTTATGTTACGCAATTAACATAAGCGATACAATAGGAGCGGTTTATATACGTTTAGACAAATTTTTCTGAAAAACATTGTAAACACAGTTTTATACAAAAAAATATTTTCTTTCTTAAAAAAGTACGAGTTGACAGTGACACTAACAGTGACATTTGCACAGGGTAATTTATTTATAGCTACATAGAATACAGCTGACTTCGTCAATTCTTCGTTTATCATTCTCCCGAAAATGGCCGCTTCAGGAGGTAATATTGAATGGTCAACGACTGTAAAACCAATTTTGACTGCTCTTTACGGCCCATTTTTCGATAAAAATGATGTCGTAGAGAATATACAAGCCATAATTAAAAGGTTGGTGTACTTTGTTTTGTTGTAAGCTTGATAAAAGTTTGCTTATTTTTATTTTCAAAGTGGGTATTTTCTCTTAATCCTACTTCTAATGTCTATTTATATTAATTATTTTTCCGTATCTTCCTTTTTGTAATATCTTCATTAAGGAGTATTTATTTAATTATATTTTTAATATATATAGGTACTTAATAATAAGGATATAGATTTTTAGAAGGAACCAGAACATTTCGATTATAAAACTAATCTTATTGTTTTTGTTTTCTCTCTAAATGGTAATGTTTAAAGATTAAAATAGATACATATTTAATCCGCACTTTGCAGTGGTATTGTTAAATATAAATTAGTGATCGTCCTCCTGTTTTCCTATCTTTCAAAGTATTTATTTTTATGTATCAATAATAATAATAAATACATAAAAGTTTGAAAAGGCTGATGTCTCTAATTATATACTTTAAGCCCAAACAATTACTTACACACTTATTATATTTTCTGTTTGTTTCTCATCAATTATTCAAAGGATACTATCTTATTTACATGTGGAATAATGGTGTGTTACTGTAATCTGACTGAAAGTGTTTTGCTGTAATCTAAGTAATAATCAATATTTATGCTTAAACATAGTCTTAATGCCATGAATTGCAATATAAAAATACTTATCATTATATTAGAATAGCTTTATTAGTAAACTGTTATAGCAAAGCAGCAGTAGAATGCATTTGTAGTACTGTTATAGCATAATTATGTAGAAGAAGGTATGGTCTTATGTTACAAACATGGCCCTAAGTTCCTCACTTGATCAAGATGAGTCTTGTTTACAAACAAAGCTAAAAGATGTTTATGCCATTCTTATATGGAGCATTTAAGAATGGCATAAATGTCTTTTAGCTTTGTTTGTAGACAATCTTTGTTTTTTTATTTGTTTTCAGTGAAAGTGAATTCCAGAACCATGAAGATGTATATGATTTATTTTACACATGTTTTGCCTGTCTATCGGCACACTTCATCAGCAACAATGCTAACAATTGTATGTATTCTTAGTAATATAAATTTACATAATATTGTGCAATCATTTAATGAATAAAGACTATTTCTATTTCTAATTTTAATTTGGCCATAATTGGAAAAGGGGTTATAAGAGGTTAGATGTTTTATATATTCATAAAATTTTACAGTACCAAGTGATCAGCTGAGCACAGCTCGTGAAGCTTTCCGGATTATACTCAATCAGATTCTGAAGAAATTGTCTGAAGCTGGTTTAAACTGTGATGACAATTCCACTACATCAGCTCCAAATGTTTCTGTCAAGCAGGTATATCAAAGGAGAAGAAATAATGCATTTATATTTTTTTTAATATTTAGGCCAAATGATCACTAATTGTTTTGGAGACATTTGGTCCAAAAACAATTTACATTAAACTTTATATGTTGTGGAACTAAAATCTGTATCATAATGGTTTAATCAATAATAGTATCGACTGTTCCTAAATTAAAAAAAAAAATGAGAAGTGACATGTAACAATATTTTTTTGTAGCTTCTGCTTCCAATTGTGGGACTATGTGGCATTGATGGAGGGGGCTATCCACAGTCAGACTTAGTAATTTTGACATCTTTATTAAAAAATGCTAAGTTGCCTGCACATGTTAATGTACCAGGTAAGTTAAGTCAAAAAGACACATCTATCTAAATTGATTACATAAATACACTGTTTTAACCTTTTTTCTCTCTGTGCACATTATATAGAAAGATATTTACCATCAGAATATTATATAAGTATATTATGATTGTGAGTCTGTAACCAGAATGTTTATAAGTGCTGAAATATACTTCTTAAATTATATGATTGTAAATATCTTCTTTATATATTAATAATAATATTCCTGGACAATTCACACAATACTATTTAGTCCCAAGCTAACCAGTGCTTATGTTACTACTAGACAACTTTGGGTATTAGACAACTTATATAAATTTATAAATACATACAAAATTGACATAGAAAACAACCAGACTGATACAAACAATATACAAATATTACTACTAAACCAGTACTAAAGCCATGTGCTAGACCACTTAGGCCGTCTTATGTGTGTCTCTAAGTCATAGCATCATAACTATCAGAACAGCTACACATGAGGGTACATGTGTAGCTGTTCTGATAGTTATGATGCTATGACTTAGAGACACGCATACTAAGGGAGCCACAATGACGAGATGTCCATTTTGGCCACAGCGGCCACTTTCTACCGGGTCTCCGAAAGCTTGTTTACCTTTCCAATTATATATAAAAAAGTATAACATATTTTTAGAAACACAAACGACTAAGTCTTCAGTGCTACCAAGCCCTATTACATCACTGGCGTCACAAACAACCAGCACTGAAAAGCAGCCACCGTCGAGCGCCCAGCGTCGCTCCGATGCTCTGTTAGAACAACTCACAATACCTCTAAGAAACCCCGTCACTTCTGTGACTTCAGCACAGACGCCACCTCCACCAGTACAATCGCCCGGAAGCAAGGATAGCATTGAAACTTCCAAGGATGGTAATACTCAACAGCCTGCCATTGATGTAAAGGTATGCTTTTTTTTTCCTTTAACTTTTTCCACAGACTGAGATCGGTGCTCATATTGATTTGTTTTCTATCATTTTGTTACGCTTTTAGCTTTAACTTAAGCTGTTAGGTTAGCGTTCCAGCCGTTATCTATATATCGCCATTACGCCATCCACGCCTGTGGTGGCGATATTCTAATCCATTTTCCTTATTTTTTTTCTCATAACTGTTTAAAGTTTGTGGCTCAGACAATTATATATAGTTTAACTCAGATTTTTACACATAAGTAAAGTTTGTAGTTGTATGATAAGAGAGATTGAAAGAGAGATAGTTTTTAAAATCTCTTTTGCAGTTAATCTTGTGTATAAACTACTGTTTCAATAATGTTATATTCTGTACTATGTAAATACAGCGGTTTCGGGTTAGGTTTCTAACACAATTGAGTAATAAATATCAACCCTATAGACAACAGGATACTGGACTTGCAATCCCTAGTGAGCAGTGTTACTGATTTAATATCATTACACTTTACCAATATTGCATATGTAGGGTACAAAAAATGTGATTAAAGTGATAAAACTCTTTGCAGAAATGGATGGCATCGACATGTTCGTCACTGCTCATGACTCTCCGAGCTGGATCAGTCGTACTGAAGGTGTGCTCCTCACTGCCTTGTCTACAACGCTACCTGAATCGCTGGCAAGCTGCCAAGGATTCGGCTATTGCACCACAATTTAACTCAGATGCGTCACTGTAAGTTGCCCCTTATTTTTATATTTAGTGCTTATTTTTTAAGACTCTGTTTTAGTTTTGAATCACATTGACTAATTTATTTTGTTATATTCTTAAAAAATGTAAAGTATCATGTGCATGTTTAATACATACATGTAATGCTGTTTACCACATAGATAATCTTGTATTAAATATTGTAATTATTTAAATTGTAAAAGTAATGCCTTATATCTATACATACATATAAATAAAATTGGAGTGTCTGTTTTGTAATATTGAAATAACCGTTTTTTACTGCATATGAATATAAATACGGTACATAGACCAAAATAAATTTTTTGTCTGTCTGTCTGTCTGTTTGTTTGTTCCGGCTAATCTCTGAAATGGCTGGAATTATTTTGATGGGTCTTTTATTGGCAGGTAGCTGATGTAATAAAGAGTAAATTAGGCTACTTTTATTTTAGAAAAACAAATTTAATTTCCTACACAGACGAAGTCGCGTGTATAGCTAATACATAATAATATTTTTGCAGCGTAAATGAAATAGCTGAAATAAGTTTAAAATTGTTATTAAGTGAATGAATATTTTAATATTCAAACTCAAATGGTTGAAAAAAATACACAGGGAAGATAACAGCAAGAGAAAAACTTTCTTTTGAAAACTAAAATAATTTTATTAATTTTTGACTTTGATGCATCTTTGCAATATAATATGTTTAAATATTTTTCTTATTTTTCATCCTAATTGTTCCAGTCTGCATTTCCTAGTCAATGAAGTACACGTTTGTCGCCTCGCATTATCGCTACCGTGCCTGGAACCTTTCACATCAGAGCGCATCGCCACGCTTAGTGATGTCAGCACGGCCTGGCTGCTATGCGCCACTGCACAGGTATTATTCATATCAAACTTCCAAACAGTAGGTAATATAGACCAATTATTGCTGGAAAGGGGGAATTCTTTAATTACCCGAGGCATTTAAATGTAGGGAATTTGAGTGGAAACTCTAGGTGAGTTTCCACTGAGTTTCCACATCTGGAGTAGAGATAGTGAGGGTCTTAGTTAATATTGTATTAATTTTATCTCAAGACAGTGTAAAATATTACTAGAAAGCTGAGTTAAAATCAGTAAAACATCCTTGAATCCTACACAACAATAGACATTATTTGGACTCAATTGGCACAGTAATCTCTTAATTGATTATCGCCAGCAGCCAGCCAAATGCCAATTTTTTTATTTAGTCATAACAATATTACTTAAATAGTATAGCTCATAGACTGTATGGAGCTAACTCCATTAAACCTCTAAGAAGAATGATGGAAGTTCTTTACAAGTTCATCTTCATCCCAAGTTCATTGAAAATCGATGGTTCATTTATAATTATTATTCATTATATAATTATTAATAAGAAAAAGATTTGAAAAAAGAACCATGCTTTTCATTGTTATAATAGGAATAATAAGAAGAAATTTAGGATAGGATGATATTTTGGGCAGCAAAAAAATGCTACATATTTTTATTTTTTTATAGGCATCCCTACATCCAAAGGACGAAGAGAGTGAACAGCAAACTGCGACATTGGTAGAGAGCGCACTTAGTCTGTACAATACAGTGGGCGAAACATTCAAACAGTCCACTCGAGCTGGTGGATATGTAAGTAAATTTTATTTTAAATTAATAGCCTATGGGCACTGAAACTATTATCACACGATAATAATTGCCTTGCCAGATTTAGAATGTACGATTACAATTGTATACATTTTTGTCCAGGTGTACCAAAACCATCTGATGATTGGCGGATGGGTGCTCCTATGCGGGCTGCACCATGCCCTGGCCGGCGCTCCGTGTCCCACGACTGCACCAGGCAAGAGCCCTGCTAAAACACCATCCAGGCCATATAACTTGACTAAAATGTAAGTAATGTTATTTTTATACATAGTTTAAAGATATTTCTCCACTTCTTATAAACCTCATAACGGTTTTTTTGTGTATAGTATTACATCCTCCAGTGGTGTGGCATGAGCATTGTCAGGATCGTAAATTTCAGTGGCCTATTTTTCTCTCTTAAATCACTATCTGACACATTAAGAGTTGTTGTTTCGAGTTTTCTCCTGCATGGGTGCAGTTTGCTTATTAGCCTAGTTAGCTCTTATGATCTCACGGGTATGAAAAGGAACTAGTAACGTAGTGTATTCGTGCTCCGCCACTTTACGAAAAGTACCTTCAAGTCCAGACCCTCTGATTTTGACTTTGATAATGTTTGTTTATGGTTCTCTCGCCTACTGTTTATTTTATAGTAAATAATGTCATACAATATCACAGACAATAGGTAGGGGATTGTTAATAATGGGGATTTGTGACTCGCCATTGCTAGCAACGTACCATGTCAGGACCTCCAAGCGGTCCTCCTAGAAACCATCACTGTCAATTACTGATGACTTGAATTCAACAAGAATTATAGCCATGGGCATTCATTGAATTCCCCGAGGTCAGATAACGCACCTAACTTCATGGTCATTCTATCATCGTCCACTGGGGGCCTGTCAGCGTATGCCGTTAGCGCAGACAGATGCACTATTCCATCATAATCCATACAAAGAATATATCACAGGCAACAGGGTCTGGGCGTAGTATGGGTGGCTCTGGGCGGGCGTTGCTTGGCGTGGACGGGTGCTCTGCTGGCGGACGCTCGGCTCGAGGCGCTCAGCTGCGGCCCGCCGTCCTCCGGCTCCGCCACCAGCACAGCCAGTACCACCGGCGCCGGCGGACAGCCCGCTCCCCTCCTCGTACTAGCGCAACACTCGGCCCATCAACGTGAACTGCGGCTCGCTTCCGCTGCGCCACTACATCAGGTAGAAAGTTTGCTAAAGAAAATGGTATCTCTATTATGAGCATTGTTCTTTTCTGGTGTTTCAATTCTTTTTCTGGTATGTTTTTAATAATGTGAATTATTTATGACATACCAGAAACAAATTATTTTTAAAACAAATTATTTTAAAGATTTAAGTCTCATATAATTATTGTTAAATACGAAGATAGTAGGTATATCATGTTACAGTCAAATTGCGGAGTGTAACAGTAGTAGAGTGATCTTAAATTACACATTTTTCTTTAATTGAATTTTATTATATTTCACAGCTTTTGGTGGCATTAGGTGTCGTCTGCTACCGCAAGGCTACAAATTTGAAGCGCGCTGTAGTACAGAAACAACATCAAGATGCAGACCCTGATCGATCTGATTCAACCGTCTACTTCCAAGATATGATCATGTGTTCTGAAGACTCTGAGACTGATGATGGTATGTAGTGTACTAAATTTCTTTTATATAAGGAAAACTATATTTGTAATAGTATGTAATTATTATGTTTTATTTTCATCTATAAAAGAAGTATGAGAATCTTGTCATCAGAGTATCCTAAGTTTGGTTCTAATTTTGTTTTCTTAGTTTTCAATTACTGTAACTTACTTGATAGCTAGTTTCTGGTATACAATGTATTGAGTATTGAAAATGTGAAATTGTTCTTAGCAGACAGTGAACCCTTGTTCGGTCTTTGGTTCGAATCGACACTGGTTGCACCCGAGGTGACTGAAGGTAGCACGGCAGCGCGTGGGGGCAGCGAAGCAACCGATGCCTGTGATACGCCTGCTCGCTCGCAACAAGCTATCGTGCCCGACAAGGCAGAACCCTACTCGGTTAGTATCTACATAGCAAAACACTAAAGGAAAATATAATCTTTTTAAATATTCTATTGTTAATTAAATGTCATGAAATTCATTATAATTGACAAAAGCTGTTGCATGCGTAAAAGTTTCATGCATTAAATACATATTTTGTAATTTTTGGAGGATTTTATCGTAATTTTATATTTTACGAAATTATTTAAAAACATTGAAGAAAATATATTTTATATTACACAAAGGTAAGCACTTAATAAATATTTTTTTTACAAAAAATAATGTATATCAATGTAAATAAAAATTACAGACATACGGCAGAACATAAACAAACAGTATATATAAATAAATCTCTCTCAGTCTGTAATTATTAAATTTAGTGTTTTTAGATTTGTAATAATGAAATTAGGTATAATGGGGTTTACATGTTTGGTAATAAAAACCCCTAAATCAACAACTACTAACGATAATAAAAAAAATAAACAAATTACTCAGCTTAACATAGCATGCCCCATGTGAGCATGCTGCTGGTATAAATTAATGTTGAAATAACAGTAAATAAAATGCCATACAATTGCTTTTATTGTTCTTAATATTCTGTACAGTACATCACACTGGCAACTGAGGTGTTCATACTCCTAACTGACGAGATCATTAGTGAAGGATCTGAGAGGTTGGGACAGTCGGCGTTGCAACTCCACGAGGCACATCAAGCACTTCTCGCTGCGTTGGCGAAAGATCTCGACCGAGAGACCGCACGCACTGACACAGGTAATTTATACAAAAACAGTATATATAATGTCAGACATAAAGAAATGTAGCAATCTTTTTCCAGGTTGCACTTGACTTTCAACCACTCTACCAGTCCTTCCGCAGGTGTTCTTTCTTTCACATCTATTTTTCTCTAATGAAGCTGTAAAAGCAAGCTGCAGCCAATGACATCAGATTAAAATATACATTGTTTCCGACATGAGCTGGTATGGACAAACCTTTATTTGACGACCTCTGTAGTCAAGCGGTTAGCATACCGCCTTACTGATAGTCGTTGGTTCGATTCCATTCACGGCATAAACATTTCACGAGTATGGTTGTTTGTATTGGTCTGGAGTTTTTTTTATGTATATTATTTAATAAAAAAATTATCAAATTATTTATATCATTTATTTAATACTCATAAGACAAATTCTGCTTAGCTTGGGACTAGATGAGGCTGTGTGACTTGTCCAGGTTCATTATTATTATAAAAAAATATACAGGCACTATCTCTGCGTGCTTCGGCATACGTCTTGGCGCGCTGTACGGGTCATTCAGCGCGGCTCTGGTGCGGTACCTGCACAATTTGACGGGCGCGCCCGCATTTGCTTCGCTGCAGCCAGCGCTTCACCATCAGCTACTGGCCAGCGGCGGCGGTGTCAGCGCTGACCGAACCAGCATCACACCTCTACAGGTTACCACTTGTTCTCTATTTTCATTTTCATTTTTATTGCAATTATTATTAAAATAAGTTGTTTAAAGTTTGCTAAATAAACGAAAGTACTAAACTGTAAGGTACATGACTCAACATCATTGTTTCATTCATTATTAAAGCTTAGCCTTATCTCTGATATCTGTATTACTAACAAAATAAATTACTATCATTGTATGCGGTCTCTTTAAAGTTAAATGTATTTAAAAAATACTTAATTTTTAAAATGTAATTAGGAGTAAATTTAATTATGCCACTTTTCAGCTTTTTCATAATTCTGATTGTTTGTAAGAGAGCAAAACTAAGTATTTTTGAATTTAATATTGTTCTAATTAGGTGGGACCCCGCGTAGTGAAACTTCTCGGTGGCATGGTGTTAAGTAAGTCATCTGCCGAACGAGAGAACAGTATACTTGCGATGTGGCACAAGATCGTCAACACACTACAAGAATGTGCACTGCAAGCGCAGCCTTCCCAAGATCATGACTATGAAGGTAAGTCAGTAACAATATCTTGTTTCTTAAAAATTTGATTGATAAAAGCCGAAAACAGATTTGCATTAAATTAAGTTTCTTATGTAATTGTAAAATATTATTGCGAAATGATTTTTATCATGATTATGAATAATATCAAATATATACATATTAGACTGCATTTTTCATTTTATAACAAGGTATATTATTACTAATGTTTCTATTATTGTTTCAGATTTGAATGTAGAACATGCTCAGTTGCTAGTATATCTTTTCCATTCTTTGACACTTATGCAGAAGAAGTCAGTTCTACTGATGACATCTAATGCTATCATTAAGGTATGATTTTGTTCAAACATGACTTATGATATTTTTGACTTTGATTGATATAATTTTTTTCATTATTAGGTGGTGGAAACCCTAGCAATAAGCGATAGGAAACGAGCAACGGCTCTCGCGCCTCATCAGCTCATGCTGACTACTAGATTGATGCTTCTTTTGGAATACCTCATGAGGCATCTCTATGATGCTCCCCAAACGTTATTACAACAGGTAAATACTAAACAATATACTATATAAGAGTCTGCAAACAGGTATAAAAAATGTTTTAAAGGACACTAATTTTAACAGCATTCTAATTTTGTTTGTATTTTAGATCGAATGGAACCTTGTCATAGCGCCAGGACTCGCTCAGCCGACGCCAGAGACCGCCACGAACGGCGCTAAAACGACTACTGAGAATGGTCTTTTAAAAGCACGTATATACTGCGATGTACCGTACATTGAACAAGCTTACAGACGACTCTCGCAGGATGAAACTTCAATGAGACCTAAGTTTTACGCACTGACCAATGCCGAAATCAATAATCAGGTATGTTATTAATAAAAATTAAAACAATTCTTTTCCTGAGTATTAAATTAACATTAAATATTGTTCTCAATAAATCAAGAGTAATGAACACACCTACTAACACCTATTACATACATTAAAATTGATATAATTGAAAAATTTGTTTCTATACAATGCTTACAAGTTCTTCCGAAAATGATAAAACATGTAATATAAAAATAAACATTTGAAGAACGTATTAATGCAGTCAAAAGTATATACAAGTATTTAATTTAATATATATTATTAATGTACTATATATATATATATATATATATATGGCAAACCCGCATTGTTCAAATTCTTTATAATTATAATAGTATCATCAACTCATATCTTAAATAATTTATGACAATAGCTATATTTTAGATTAGTACAACATCAATGTTCGTCATATTTAAGTATTTATTAATTTATATATACATAATAAATTTCGTTTCACCTTTGTAGGAGAATCCGAAATTCGATGGTCTAGCATGCAATTTCGTGCTGGGTACTCCTCACAAGCTCAAGTACCCGTTACTGCTGGATGCGTTGTTGGCTCTCCTCAACTCGGCGTGCGTGTGCGACAACCAGCAGTACAACGCATCGCCTGCAGCACTCGCTGCTGCTCACTACTGCTTCCAAACTGCTTGGAGGTCAGTTGATTTTGTTGTTATTTACATGGTATAAAACAAAGTCGCCGTCACTGTCTATTCGCTTATATCTTTTAAACTACGTAACAGATTTTAATGCAGTTATCAGCAATAGATAGAGTGATTCAAGAGGAAGGTTTATATGTATAATATAATGCATGTACACTCATGCGAAGCCGGGGCGGGTAACTAGTATAATATAAAGCGCAATATTGTATCTTCAGCGAAAACAAATGTCATATTGATTTAATTAGAACATGTTGTTTTAACTAACAATAATTCAATTTTAATAACTAGATTAAATTTATACACTATCCCGTTTTATATTCTGTGGTATTTATACTCTCTGAACAAAATAAGTAGTATTTTATTACTACTATTGTAATATCACATTTAAGTCATAAAATGCCATTCAATAATTCTTTCTGTATGTATTACTATTTTATTATATTACTTACTATTTTATTTTATTGTAGACTTGTGATAAGCATGCCACCAGCTACTCCGCATATGGACAAGCTTCAGGCGGGCACATCCGCAGAGCTGACTTCACTGCTGCCACTGTACGCAGTAGTGTGGGCGCCCCGCGCCGATAATAAGAAGGTCTTTAACCCCTGGCTTAAGGACGCCCTTGTTAAACAGGGCATGTATACCCATGTGAGTGAAAATGATCCTTATCTTTTGCAACATATTTATTCATTTTTAAATATAGACTAGAAGAGAATAGAATAGAAAATCAGTTATTCAAATAAACTTAATAATAAGCACTTTTGAGTAGTCATAACTTTTTTTTTTAATCTACCGTTCATTCGGAAAGCTGTCTCATCACAAGAAGAACAAGCAAGAAACTTGTGTTATATATTTATTAACAGTGGAAACCACAATTATGTTTCTCTCTGTTTTCCACTTGAGATATGATGTACTCTTAAAACAAATTCCAATTGATTTACATTGACATAGTGACATTACATATATTTCTTTTAAAAAAGTTTACAGAATGAACAATATTTTATATGCTCATTTCCTGTTCAAATACCCGTAAGATAATATGCTCTTACTTAATATTTTCATATCTGATTAACAGTATGCTGAGAATTTATTGTCTGGCGTGAGCACATCATGCGACAACATCAAATACACAGCGTGGCTTGCATCGGAAACTATAAAACACTTGAAAGAAAACATCATGCGTAAGTAATGAAGAAAATAAATAAAACATATATAATCATACATGCAATTTGAAGTAGGTGCAATATCTCAAATCATGTTATGACCGTGCCCATATTATTGAAATAATTTGTGTTTGACATATACACAAGTAAATAATAGCTTTATTTATGCAGTGCAGTGAAATGCAAAGGTTATATGATATCTTGTGGTCCACATGTTTGTTTAACTTTACTTTCTTTTCATTAGTGAATGTTTAACTAATTTGTTTTGTAATTTTAAAGGGTTTTTGACATTATTAAGTTTTACACTATGGTCTTTCATTTGAGATATCTCATTCTTCTGCTTTATTTGTTGTCTATTATATTTATAATGTTATTTTCTTGATTTGCCTAATATATTATTTGTTCCGCAGCGAATGGCTTGCCGTCACTGTTGGACGTTATTTCATGTGACTCTGCATTGGTGAGACTTAAAACATGCCTCACGGATCCCGCGTCGGTGACTGAGGCGTATCACTTCATACCTGACCTACTCGATTTGCTGGAGACCATACTCGAATGTTGCCGGTATGTACCAATTGTATCAAAGGTCCACTCCCAATTTAAATGAATTTACCCTCATTCAACTGCATTACAGTACAATCTAGCTCGACATAAATATGTGCTGTCTTTATTGAATTAAATCTTTTTTCAATAGTAGAGCACAAACTTACTTTACTTAAAATATATATCACTTTATTGAACCTGATTAATAAAATTATGCTAGCTAATTGATTCATACTGGGCACTATATAATTAAACTTCGACCATTGGCCGACCACTAGACTCGTTAAAGAAAAACTTTAATTTCTAGCACCCTGTATTCTCAGTGACTACCCGAGTGGGTATACTTCAGTTCACCAATGTTCGAGTTAATTGAATTTCATTTACGCCGACCAACGTACAAAATCATGAAGGTCATGAACTTTGAAATGTCAACTATTTCGCAGAGTGAGCGCCGATATAGATTTGGAGGGCGTGATGGAGCCGTGGGGCGGGTCGGAGTCCGCGGGAGGCATGGACGGCGGCGCCGGCACCAGCAGCGCCGTCACCGCAGCGGAGGCCGCCGTGCGCATCGCCCGCCTCCAGGTTATGGGCGCAGCGGCGTCGGCCGGCAGCTCACTGCCCACCCTGGGCACGTGGCTACGAGCTCAACTCACAGCCGCAGCTTCTGCAGCACTTGATCGTCTCGCATCGCCGCCACCACTCGCATGCATCAATCTGGTGAGTTAATCATATCTCGTAGTAGAACAAAATTTTGTATAACATCGTAGCCTTGATTTTTAAATAACTTGTAAATGCGTCTTGGTTTGATAAACATCAGACATCAACAGGTTAATAACTAATGAGTATCTTAATATAAATACATTAGTCGAAGAGATCAAAGACTGCTGCTCCTCAACATATGTGGTCTTAAATAACATAGGGTACTGGAAACAGATTAATCTGACAATCACACCTTATGCACATGACATACTACCATACATGTTTATTTACATTGAGCTGTAACTTTAAAAAAGTACCAAACCACCATAAGTTTATTTTCAGTATAATTTTTTTATTTTTTCAATTATAGTAAATTAAAAATACCAATAACCATTCAACGTTTGTACATGATTTTTTTTGTAGGCGTTCTATGCAACCCATATCATACCATCAGAGAGTGCTGTACTGAACTTGGTGTCTTCACATTGTGAGCTTATAAGTGCGAACACGAAATACTCAATTGGTCCCTCGTTAATGATGCTCGCATACTCCGCTGGGAAACTACTAGACATTGCCGCATCTAAATTGGCCGAAAATCCTGATCTTACAAAGAGGAGCCTTGACTTGGTTGTGCCAGGACTGGTAAGATTATGAATATTTAAAAAAATGTCTTATATCTTGAAGACGTACTTGCTTTTAATTAATTTTATAACATCATTGTCCATTGCAAAAATAAATAACTGAAATTGATTGATTGAATAGCTGTAATATTTGAACGTTAAAATTTTCGATTATTAAGCGATATTGTTTTTGTATTGTAAATAAAATCGTGATATTTATTCAAAAATAAACAATTTTGAATATACTATTACGATCGCGTTTCCAATTATAATATTTTAATGTTATAATACATCTGAATAGTATATAATAAAGATTTATTTTTTACATTTATCACAGATTGTATCACTGTGGATGTTGCGTATCATAAACATTTTGATATAATTAAACTATATGTACAACAGCCCAAATGAGACGTTAACTGCGGAAACAAGTGCCTAACATACATATTATAATTAAAATAAAAAAAGATTTACGTTTAATTTGTGTTATTTCAACAGACGGATGTTAGGTTGGAGTTCATGGCGGAACCGTTCGCGTCAACACTTAACATACTGGTCCCAGCGCCACAGAAATCTGAGCAATTAATTCATGAGCATATCCTTAAGACGACATACACAGTGCTTGTTCATCATTTGCAGCCTTCTACAGAGAAAACACTGAAGCAAATGGTAAGATATTTATTCATTAAGATGAATTGAAATATTGAGGGAACTAACTATGTATGTAGGTCTTGGAATGGAATGAAAGTGGAAATATTTATTTTTCCAAGGTGGGGTTATAAATATTTATCTTTTCATACATTAAACTCATGCTGAGATAGTATGTATATTTTGTAGTAAACTGAAATGTTAATTAAAGAATTATTTATTTTAAATAATTATTAAAATAATATTTTTTACTTCTATGTGCTATATAATATGTATATATCTATATCACTATCTAATAATCCACTACCATGTTTATTCTTTTTCAAGCAGAATTCCTAAATTTGAAATAAATTTTCCTATCAAAATTATTATACGTAAATTTTGTACGACCCGCCCTTAACAGCGCGGACGTACTGCTGCACTATTCATGTTATATTATTATTGTAATATAACATGAATAGTGCACAGTGTACACAATGTGCAAATACAAATAGTGCACACAATGTTAAATGTAAGTATTTTTACATACAGGTAAAATACTGGGAGAAAATCCTAGATAGACAAGCAGGCAGAATGGCCTACGAGTCTGTGTTCACAGACAATTCTGAATATTCTCTCGGTCAGATTCTGTTATCGGCGCCAAATGCACGAAGCCCATACACAGAAAGAGTTATCAAGTAAGTTTATTAGTAGTTAGTACTATTAAAGAAAATAAATTGTAGAACAACTATCGTGAATTTAGTCCCTTTAAAAATACAGTTGTTTACCTAACAATTTTAAAAATGAAGTAAATCTCATATCTTTAAAAAATATTTATGTTTTTATTTTAGATTATTCATAAAAATCTTGAATGGATGCGAGAATTCCGAACTGGGCAGTGCACTTTGCATTTCTGTTTGCAATTTCGTTGGTGTTGCAGACCAGCAAAAGCTTTCCAGTTTGTTAGCACACATCTGCTTGGTATCTCCGAGTAAGTACACCATTGAACATGCATGAAATGTATACAATTTATATTTAAATAGGAGAATGCGGGAGAGTAGTGTTGTGTAACTTGTCCACTTAGGTATGCACTGAATAAACTTACTTAACCATAGGTAAGTACATCATCTACCAGTCGAAAGCAAGGCAATCCAGCAATTAATTAATTTGTAAATAAATAAATTTCAATTGTATATGCGTGTGGAACCGCGGGTACTGTTAGTGTATAATATTAGTAGGACAAACAAACAATATACCTACATAGAAGTTAATTTGCCATTGGTAGGTACAACAATCGGTATATCCTGCACCGTGAATGGCACGCCGACCGAAACAGAGCTGCCTACGCCAACGTCGTCCGCGCCGGAGGCCGGCAACCCGGTGTCGCTCGCACTACGGAACGCGCTCCGCACTGTGTTCCGCACGGAGAGCGACGGCACGCAACGGAACGACGCCGCTTCTGCAGCCGCCGCCCAGCGGATTGATTCTGAACTGCCCGTTTTCGATACACCGTATGTATTTATAATAACTAATAGTCGTCTAGTGATCGAAATTTAAGGTTTTATTGCCAAACATGCAAAGCGAGGTAAAGGCACCTGACATATTTCATTGTCAAGTATCGTACCAGTGCCGCGCTAATTGACCCGTACAGCGCGCCAAGACGTACGCTGAAGAATGTTGAGATTGTACCTGTATGTATATTTTTTAAAATAGTATAATAAAACTGGACAAATCACACAGCGCTATCTAATCTCAAGCTCAGCAGATCTTGTGTTATGAGTACTTGACAACTGATAGAAATACTTAAATACAATTTTTTAATAAGTAATATTTATACCTATTAAATTATTAATGTGTTTATTTGTATATCTTTGCACATTTAGATCGCCAGCGCCCAGAGCGCAGTCTGATTCGACCCAACAACCAGGAAATTCAGGTTGGTAAATTCATACTACTACTATTGTAAAGATTTTATGACTACAGTAAAGGATACATACTTTACTTTTATGATCTATTTGACCGATTTTAATTCATTTATAAAAAGCTACATTGTTTGGATATAAGATGCTCTGTAGTTCATATGGATTCTTATACTGTATTCTTGATAATATTTTTATTTACAATTCACACAGTAGCATACAGTCCCAAGCTAAGAAATGCTTCTGTTATGGGGTACTGAACGCTGATATGAATACATAGATTTTTTTTATTAGTAAATACATTATAATATACATAAAAAAATATCCAAGTCGATACACACAATCATGCACGCATTATGATAACAATCGAACCCGCGACCAACGGAAGCAAGGTGGAGTGTGCTAAACACCTGTGCCACTGAGGCGGTCATATGTAATGTAAAAAAAATTATAGTAATTTTCAAAGTAAATCGAAAACTGTATGTACTTATATCACTAGGTATTATTTTTTATTGTGTTTTGAACATGTTTGTAACAGAAAATTGTAGCTGGTCTGACGGAAGCAAAGATAGTGCGGCTGCAACTGCTGGTTCTACAGAACCGGCGCCAGTGCCCAGCTCCGATGCAGCCAACGACAATGCCACTCTTCTCTCTGCTATCTGCAAACATGTAGTACAACATTGGTATGTTAATATAAATATGCTATCACTATTGTATAGTTAAACTATTACAATATCCCTGATCTTAATCAATTTTAGAGCTATGTAAATGAAACCGTCAATAAAACATAGTGGTTATTTTCTCAGAAACATTTAGTTCTAACTGATTTTATTTAAAACAAGTACACAGTGCATTTCGTATGAACACCTATTCTTCGCCAATAATATCACTGATAACAAACCAACCTCGTCATTCAAATTCAAAAAAGTAATCAGTAAAAATTTTTTTTTTAATACAGTTTAGTGAATAATAGTCAATATTTACTTCTATAGATTTGTTCAACAACTATTGCCATGCAAACGTAATCGTTTAGTGAATAATAGGATTTGTTCAACAGGAAACGTAGGAAAAAGGTTATTATAAAAACATTTCACATTCATAACCGGCTAAAATGCCCTATATGTATAAATGTTTTTTTAAATATGAAGAAAACTAAAAAAAATATATTTGTTGTAGTACGATTGAAGTGAGCGAGCGTATGCTGGCGTCTCTGATCGGCGTGTGCGGTGACATGGCGTGTTCCCCGCTGCTGCTGCGCGAGATGTGTCGGCTGGCGGACGCGCACCAGGGCGTGCACCACAAACAGCTGTTCCCGGCCGCAATTAACTGGCTCTCTACCTGGTCAGTCTATTTTTTTCTTCTGTTATTTATGTCCAGTCGACCGGATGCAACCCGCTGAATGCAGTTCCTACTTTGATTATGTTTATAAACAATATCAACAATTAATATATGAACTGTTGTAGAATGCTGTAGTGTGTATTTAGTTGTTAAAGACAACTTTTTGACTACTTTTGATTTAACCACAGACATATAGAATTTATTATTTTATTATATTTATAGCAATAAATATATTATTGCTATAAATATAATAAAATAATAAATTCTATATAAACTATAAATGTACGAAATTTCATTCTCCTCCGTCGGCGCTATGTTCAAAAAGGAGTACTAAGTTTTTTCTTCACGTATTAATACCAACACAAATGACTGCAAGTACATAAGCATTAAGAAACACTGTTTGATATTCAAAGAATTTCGAATCGTTAATTTTATTTATTACTTATCTTAATAATAAATGTAATAAATAAAAGGAAAATCTAGTAATGTTATTATTACAGCGTGGATAATTTGAGTAGTCCCGAAGTCCTTGAGAAGTTGGAAGAAGGGCAAGTGGATGGCAACGTGGCGCCGCAGATCGAATCTGCTTGCGTTCTGCTGTCGTACCTCGCCGACGCACTTCATGCTATCAATACGGCACAACCACACAGTAAGTATAACCAATATTTCATTTATTTCATACAATACAATAATTATGTAATAAGTATTATTGATGTAAAAATAAAATGTTGTAAATATAATTAATTGTTTATTTATACTAGATGTATTTTATGGCGTAGTCTACGCGAAAGTAAACATTAATCCATTATTAATTAATAAATCTGTTAATCTAAGATAGAATCCGTTTATGTGCTAAATTTTATTCAAATCTGTCTATTGGAATTTGTTAAAAATTCTTGGAAACATTATATTTGCGTATGATTTACTAGGATGTGTTGCATGTACACAAAATTACTACTCGATCAATTAAGAAAAATATTTGAAGATAGAGAATGTTTTATGCTATCTATTACATTAGAGGTGATGACATTAGTTTAGAGGAAAATTTACCTATGAATATAAACAATATTGTGCTTGTTTTGTAGCGTGGCGATCTGTCAGTCCTACGTGGGAGTCCCCGTCAGATCTCGGCTTCGACTTTGATTACACAGATGAACAACAGGATGATGACGATACGAGTGCTGATGATTCTGTAAGTCATAATTTTATTATTATTCTTTTCTTATCTTATTCTTTTTAGAAAGAAGAAAACCTAAAAAGAAACTCAATCGATTGTTCTATTTAAATATATAACGTGCATGATCATTAGATTTTATCAACCATTTGAAAAAGTAGTAGCGGGGCACAACCTCGCATGAGTATGTAACAAAAATTTCACAAATTAATGGCCTCTATAAAACTGTAGTACATCACTTTGTTCTATTGTCAATCATTTCCGCAGTGTAAGCAGTATAAGGATTTTAATGGTATTTTTATAACACATTGGCTATGTTAGAAATATTAAGCACTAAGTATTATAATAATATAAGGATTGCTTTTTTTCGTCTTTTTATCAAGCAGTAGGTTTCGTTCCTTAACGTTTAAAATACTCGTATCGCCTATATGTGTAATATTATGTGATACATGTGTTATATGTATTATTTGTAATGTTTCTAGCAATGAAAGACTACAGATACGAAACAAGGTCCGTTATTAGGGTTTATTACTCGTTGGTTAGTGGTTGTAGAGCGCGTCGTCGTCACGTATAGATACGTATATCACAGTATCCATTCTAAATTTAGGGTGAAGTCAAATTGAGATATTATGTTGTGTTATAGGACGAGGACGCGATGCTGCAATACAAGCTGTGTACATTCACGATGACGCAGCGCGAGTTCATGAACCAGCACTGGTACCACTGCCACACCTGCAAGATGGTGGACGGTGTCGGCGTGTGCACGGTGTGCGCGCGCGTCTGCCACCGCGGACACGACGTCTCATACGCCAAGTTTGGCAACTTCTTCTGCGACTGCGGCGCTAAACCTGATTCCAGGTGAATATTTTTTTTCTATACTATATATATTTATTTATTTGTCAGAATATGTTATGTACAATGGTAGTAATTATAGGTTTTTAATCTGCTGTTTCCGGCGTCTATTCACAAACTAAAGAATAGATGATTAAAAAATCTCTACTGAATTACAGTTACAACTTTTTCTGTTAAATGTTAATGAGTGATGAATATTTGCCATATGTATTTGTAATTTAATTACATTACTGGTGAACATTATCATGTTTTATCATTATGTTTTTCGTTAAATCTCTCTTGAAAGAAACATACTAACAGTAGTGGGTTTTAATTAATTAATAATAATAATAATATTTATTCTTGATACACATTTACATTTTTAATTTATTGTAGTTCTACACTAGGCTCGCAGGCCTGTATTGTAGAAACTGTAGTGACTAATTATTATTTTTTAAGTAAATATTATGATATCATTTAAAAATAAAAATTACATTTCTTTTCTTTCTTTCTATTGTATTGTCAACTAATAATATGAATTTATAAATTACTATAAAACTATACAAAATTATTTTTATATTCACATATTCATGTCACATATCTTACACTCGGCATATTATTATTACCTTTGAAAACAACATACCGAACATAGAATACTTTAGTAATAAAATTATACTTGTGGTAGTTGCCAAGCACTGGTGAAGAGGTCTGTGACACTGGGCGGGGCGCGGGGCACTGGCTCAGGGTCAGGGACGGGGGGCTCAGACGAAGCGCCCCCCGCGCCCGCACTCCGCCGCCGCCCTTCGAGCCCCGCACCGCCGGCATTGCTCGCGCCGCCCAGGCGTCCCGTGCTCGCTGCCAATATACAAGGTATTCTCAACTGTTTGGTAGTCTTGTCATTTCTTCGTTGGTTGAATCATGAACAGGGTTATTGGAAATGTTAATTTTCTTTATGTAACAAAATATACAAAAAAATAACCTGTGTAAAATTTTGTTTACCCCTTTATAAATAATAGATATTGAGTTAAATTTAATGTCTTTAAGGCAAAACATGATAATGATGTATTATACAATATTTGCTCTAGTCGAATTATAAGTACTGCTTATGTACAATATAAGGGATTGATGGATGACATAACCCAAAAATATTAAATGAAATAATAACTAAAATCTGATTATAGCCAAAAGGCTGATTACAGATGGAAGGGGCAATATAAAAAAAACTGTTAGAATTTATATGTCAACAAGTACTTTAGCGTTTTGTACATATACAATATAAAATATTTTGGTAAAAGAGTAAACGGGCCGCAACGGGTCGGACAGACAGCGACCGCGAATTTGTTTTGTACTGTGTAATGTTATATATTATATTATATATTGATATATATTATACTATATTACTGTAAAGTTACATCAAAATCCGTTCATTAGTTTTGTGTGAAAGAGTACAAAACATCCATCCATACTCACATGACCTTTCGCGTTTGCTATTAATAATATTCCTTTTTTAACATTAGCTAAAAGCGCTTTTTGTTAATTCTGTGTGCAGGGTGCCGCGCGTTCCTGTCGTCGTTCGCGGGGTGGGGCGCGTGCACGGAGCGCGTGCGGCGGCTGCTGGACGCGCTGTGCGGGCCGGTGCGGGCCGCCTGCCAGCGACACGCGCCAGCCGGAGCCCACGCACGCGCTCAACGAGCACTAGCGCAGCTACATCTCGGAGAGAAGCGGTTCACGCACACCGATGACCTCATGCTGCCCACGCTGGGTACGTCGCAGCCGTGTCGTTCTGTAGCGTAGTTTGGAAGCTCACCGGCGTTTGTTCGTTCTGGACGACGCGTGCTCTGTGCCGCGCACGCGCGCTCCTAGCGGACGCTCACCCCAATACCTACCGACTTATTTATCTACCTCGATTACTCTTTTGTATACCAATTTTTTACAACTGCTTGACAATTGATATAAAGTGTTAACTGTTATCTGTCCAAGTCGAGCAATCCAAGAACTATCAGCCGATGTCACAATTTGATTTGAGGAGTACAATATTTTTCCCGTGTTATGAATTTAATTAAATAGTACTATTTATTGATTAAAGCACTTTTAGTGTATAATATTATTTAATTGTTCTCAATAGTTTTATTGTATATTTAAGTATAATGTGAATACTGTAAAATTTGTACAGGATCCCAAGAGGGCGCATTCGAGAACGTACGCATGTCGTATACAGGTGAAAACGGGCAAACGATCCGCCAACTGATGTCGACGCACAAGCTGCGCCGCGTGGCCATGTGCTGCCTCGCGTCGCCGCAAGGCCGCCGACAGCATCTCGCCGTTTCACATGAAAAAGGTGCGTATCATTTCATTGTAATACTTACTATTTAATTTATATTCTGTGTGTATGTTTTCTACAATTCAATTATTAAATAATTAAACCAAATATTTGCCAATTTATATAGTCGCAATAATTTTTATTGTTAATTTAGAGTTTGCCTAAGTTAGATAAATACCAAAAATATGACTTTTCCCATTACGGCCATTCAACCGCTTTCTGTTTTTACCCAACGGTTAGGTAGTAGAGAATGGCATTACACTCGCCAATTGTATATTTATTTTAAACTAGCTACTCGCCCCGGCTTCGCACTGGTGTACATATATTATATATATAAAACATCCTCATGAATCATTCTATCTATTTAAAAAAAACGCTTCAAAATCCGTTGTGTAGTTTTAAAGATTTAAGCATATATAGGGACGGACAGGCAGCGACAGCGACTTTGTTTTATATTGTGTATAAAATGATAGTTGCACTATTTAAAAGAAATGTACAATTGTAAAGACAAATAAAAAAAAATGTGCGTTTAATCGTTATTGTTTTTCATAATAACAGCTACATATTGCAAATATTAGTATCAGTATATATTAAAATGTTGTGATTCCCACAGATGTTTTCTGTGTCTCAATATCACGTTCTAATTAACTGTACTTGTATTTCTACAGGAAAAATCACAGTGCTCCAACTGTCGGCCCTGCTCAAACAAGCCGACTCATCGAAACACAAACTTACCCTGACGCGGTTATCGTCCGCACCAATACCATTCACGGTACTCAGCCTGAGCGGTAACCCGTGGAATGAGGATCTACTCGCAGTCTGTGGCTTGAAAGAGTGCCATGTCCTTACTTTCAACAGTGGTGGTAAGTAGTTTTTCTAATATTTTGATCCTTTGTAACTGTGACTATACACAACATTGTTTAAAACAATAGAAGTAATGTACCATATACTCTTCTTATTGATAACAATCTCAAACCTCAAAAATTCAGAGCCATAAATTTTTTTCACAATGAAAATAATGTCTCAATCCGCCAATTCCATTTCTATAACAATATTTCTTTAATAAAGGTTTATTGTTTTATTGGGTAAAATACACCGAGTTACTTTCGTTCGCTTTTGTATAGTACTACTGATACATATAATATGAATACAGACATGTCACGATATATCACTAATGTATTTAGGTTTTTTTGGCTGAGTGAGTACATTGTAAATGCTAATATATATTCTCAGATAATAATAAATTCTCAATCTATGACCATAGGAATTGGTTAAAAGTAATCCTTTAGTGTGATATTTTTTGCATAGATCGATATTTTCTGTGACTGAATATTTATCATATATTATGCAACAGGTGCGGTAGCTGACCATCTAGTTCTGAACACCGGTTTGGACGCTAATAACTATATTATCAAAGCAATATGGTTACCGGGCTCACAGACGCAGCTCGCGCTTGTCACATCCGACTTTGTCAAGATTTTCGACCTCAGTAAAGACTTAAATAATCCAATGCACCATTTCCTCGTACCCAGTGGGAAGGTAAGTACATCAGTTATTTTTATGTAAAGAAAAACTAGTTATATATAGTAAATTTGTCATGAGGTGATAACTGTTTCCTTGTATGTTTGTGTTAATTTAATACTTTACTTCTTCTTCAGGAATTGCGATGAAATTTTTACAGAATATATTACATATGTGCAATATATAGGCTAAAAGAGGTTGTTAAAATGGGGCAAATAATTAATTCTGTAATAATTTTCAATGTGCCACCTACATTTTATTCTTTAATTCCTTACTTAAATAATAGATGTTCTCATTTGGTTATCAATACATGGAGATCAACAATGTTCACTCGTGCGAACGAAGTCGCGGGTACTCCTAGTTAAATAATAGTCTGCATAATAGTCATTACAGTTACTATTACTTAATAATTGGTTATTTCTGTTTAGGTACGTGACGTAACTTTTGTGAATCAAGATGAAGTGATGCATATGCTATGTATGAGTTCAGCCGGTCACATCTACTGGCAGCCGATGAGCGAAGAATCTCGCGCCACACTCGGAACCTTCTACGTCACCAATACACTTGAAGTGTTGCACCCTGAGATTCAGGTAGATATTTGAATAATTATTGTACTTATAAAATAGTTTGTCTTTTACTATTAATGCACAGCCAAAACTAATAATTCCAGAATAACATTCCGGACTTAGTTCCAGACATTTGAAATGCAAGTTTATTTTAATAATAATTATACTCCAGGATAATTTACACATCGCCATCTAATTCCAAGTTAATCAGAGTTTGTGTTATGGGTACTAGACAACTGATGAACTGACTACTTAATTACTTTTTTTAATACATTCATAATATACATAGAAAACACCCAGACCGATACAAATAATCATACTCATGAATACAGCTGTTTGTACCGGGCCCTTAGTCTGCTAAGATTTTTTTAAAGAGTCATTATATTACTAATCACTACTTTGCCATTCGTAGGATGTTGCCGGTTTAGTCGGTGGTGGCGGTGTGTCTATTTACTATTCACACACACTGAAGATGTTGTTCTTTTCGTACGCTCAAGGCAAGAGTTTCCTCGCTCCACTCAGCACTGTCGAAGATTGTGTTCAAGGTATTTTTTTTTACTAAATCTAGCATATAAACTAGTGATTTAGGAGTGTTTGCAACGTAATGATTTGTGAATGTATAGCAAGCTCATCACATCATTGTAAATCATCATAAAAAAACTTCCTTAAAATTAGTTGAATAACTGATAAAACATATGCATGCTGTCTAATAGAGCCGAGTGTGTTAAATACGCACGTATATCGTACGACGTCTTTCAACATTTGATTTTTAATAAACACAACCATAAAACTGTGATACACACTGTTGCTTTCCCCCCATTTTACTTTTTAACTGACCACCTGTCTCTAGGCAGGTTTGAAAAAAAAAGAAATATAACGTACGTGTGTTTATGAGCTACTTTATATGTTTAAAAACCGGTGAAATTATATTCACTTTACGAGCAAGTAAAACGTTACGTTAACATCGATACAGGCACCGCAATGATAACGCTGTCGTCAACGGCGACGCAGAAGGAGGGCGGGCGCGGCGGCGGCAAGCAGGGCGGCGTGCAGTCGCTGTGTCAGTGGGCGGAGGTGGTCGGACACCCCGGCCTCGTCACCGCCGTCATGCAGGCCTCCAACAACCCCGTCGTGCTCATGCTCACACCCACCAACATATACGTACAGGAGATCAAGGTAACACTCACTCCTACAATGTCTCATATATAACTCATCCAATACAATATATTGGATAATTTATATATGATATTTTATAAATATTTTAATATTGTATTATTCCAGTTAACGGTTCAGATCGAGAGGAAGTAGAATCGGCACAAGATGTTACTATCTTTAATATATAATTTTTGTATACAGTTTTTCAATAAGTATGCATGCAGTGAACAATTTTTTGTGTTCACTTTCTTTTAAAATTATATTTTTGTTTTGTGTAATCACAGTGTTTATTTTCCAAAGATTTTGAAAATTCAATATTTCTATAATTATGTTTTCAAAGTGAAAACATAATTATGGAAATGTTGATAATGACATCCGCCCTTTTACTTTTTCATTGGCTATTAATTATTACAAAAAGGCGCTAAACGTACGATGAAAAACGCGTTAAAATGCGAGTTAAAGTTTTCGTTTTCACTTTGTTTACATTTACATGCACATTATAGTGCATGAAAGCCTATTCGCATGTGCATTACGGCGGTTAATGTCGTTCCATGTACAGGTGGTGCCTGCAAAGGCGAAGATAACAGACATGGTGGCGGTGCGACACTGGTGCGGCGGCGGCGGCGAGCAGAAGAGCACGCTGATCCTGCTGTGCGAGGACGGCAGCCTGCGCATGTACGCGGCCGGTGGAGACCGCACCGGCTACTGGCTCGCGCCCGCCATCCAGCCCACGCATCCACGACGACGCGCGCGCGCACTCGCCGCGCACGCCAAGGGCAAGGCTCAGCAGGTACCGTACTCACTATTCGGGCTCGGCTCGCACGAGTGAGTTGTTGTCCTGCCTGCTAATAATATACCACGTAATAGACACGTTCGTTCACGCGCGATCAGTAGCGCTCGCATTTTACTATTCTTCTGTATACACTCTTTCGCGTATATACATTTCCCTTTCTTTTAACAAAAATAATTTTAAGCTACGTTTAAGATTTATAACTCACTCTATAATTATGTATTTGCTCCATAGTCAGATGTCCGCCATTTTGCAATGACAATGACAAATTAATTATTACAAAAAGCCGCTAATGCACGTACAATTGATAGTGATTTTAGAAAGGCTTAAAAGGGGCATGGTACTAAAAAGAAAATACTGGTCTACACTCTACAGTAATGAATTTTAATATCATTTTAAATTTCCATATCCTTTAGGCGGCAACGAAATCCAATGCGAACGGAGCACCGCAGTTCCCGATCGACTTCTTTGAGCACTGCGTCGCCATGTCGGACATCGAATTTGGAGGAAACGATCTGTTGCAAGTATACAATACTGCCCAGATTAAACATCGCCTTAACACGACCGGTAAATATTATGTTATATATTTTTTAGGCATATTATGCATACAACCAGTCTTCCTAACTATAAGCAGATGTCTTGCTAACAAAAATTATATTACTACACATTTAAAATACTAGTCTGAATATAGATTAATTGTACCAGTGACTTTGCAACCGTCCGATTAATAGCGAAATGTGTTATGTTCATGAATAAATTCAAATAAAATCTATAAAAAGTGCATTAATACAATCAAAGCTAGACTAATATTTTTGCTCTATTGTATATTTATTTTTCATAGATTATGACTAAGACTCACTAAAGACATTTTATTAAGAAAATCAGTCAGAAACATTTAAGACTTGATAATTTATCATATATGAAAATAATGTATATTATGTATGTACATCATACAGGTTTATACGTCGTATCAAACAAGATGAGCGGGTTCTCAATGGAGGTTATAAACTCGGATCCCAACATGGTGGTTTGCGGCATAAGAGTGCTCCTCGGCAGCCAAGACGTAGCAAGAACCCCGTCATATGTTGAAGTAACTATTGATTTTTATTGTTAATGTATTTTAAGTTATTTTTTTATTAATTTAATCATAATAATTAAGAGTGTTTACAAGTAGCTTACTCCTGAGTGGTAGTGACCTCAAATCGCACCTATAACAAAATAGTGGAGGATGATAGTACGAACATGTGACCCATTGTGATAAACTCACCAGGAATTTATCACGATAATTTCATCTGGGAACCGTGTGGAGGTCTATTACTAATAGACACTTTCCCCCATAAAGGTTTATTAAAGTTATGACGTTTTGTAGGTGTATGATAGAGTCATACAGACCGCAGTAGTCCGTAACCGTTGGTTCGACATTCCTTTGACACGTGAAGAGTCCCTGCAATCGGATAAAAAGTTGATCATTAATTTTGGATCATCACAAGACCCCGACGGAGTTACTATGGTAGACTCTGTAAAGGTGAGTTTAAATAGAGATATTTATTCAAATAAATTCAATAGTGTATATTTTTATACTAATTTAAATTTTGTGTTTATTAATTATTTATTTTGGTTTTTTAATGAATATACATAACTATTTTACCAAGAGAATTTAGAACATTGTACATTATCTCATTAAAAATTTAGAAAATTACATGCATAGCCTAATATATAAATAAGTAAGTTATTTTATAAAAAAGTCAGTTAGTCTTTGTTTTAGTGATATGTCTAAAACAAAGACTAACTAACTAACTGCATGGCTATGTATGTCAATTCAAAGAAATATAGTGTTGAGCACATTTGATTGATACATTTGGTATTTTTTTTTATTCTACCGGATATTCTCGGAGTAGGTTTAACCGAGTCGAGTGAGTTATAAACTCAGCTGTTAATCGTTTTATAACAATATATACTTTATATTATATTTTAACGCGCTTTTACTGCGTGTGGAGCCTAGAGTTTATTCCTCCATAATATCCGTAAGCCGACCGTTATATACGCTATATAGGCCTCAATCTAATTTGCATGTTGTGCTATAAATAAATATATATTAAAAAAAATGTTGTAAAAATAGGTGTATGGTAAGAACAAGGAACAGTTCGGATGGCCAGAGGAAAATGAAGATCCATCAGCATGTCCATCAACCAGTAAAGTGGCACAAGTACGTACTAGTTGTTTATTTTTAAATTAGAACAGAATATTATTAATATTTTTTTATCAATTGATATTATGAAACTACATATTCTCACACATGACATATTCTGGATTTATAAGTATGATAGTATGAGTCTGGATGTTTTATTATTATTATTACGTGTTTCTATCGGTGTTGTACAAAGTATAGTATATGTATAGTACAAAGCTTATAATTTGATGCGTGAGATGGCGGCGCGTGTGCTGTTTTAGTTAGTAGTACATGAAAATAAAGCCTTTGTCTTCATTTTTATGCATATTCTTTCCTGCGTAATTGCGCACATTCCTGCGTATTCACGCTTGAAAAATCGCACATGTAAATGCAGCTATTATCATCACATACTAAATAAACGCCAGGAGTCGGACGGTGCGAACGGTGCGTGGAAGCCCAGCTCGCTGGAACGGCTGGCGTGTGCGGCGCTGGAGGCGCTGGAACTGAGCGCGAGCGCGGAGCCGGCGGTGGGGGTCACGGGCGGCGCGGGGGGCGCGGGGGTCGCAGGGGTCGCGGAGGGCGGCGCGGAGGCTGCGCGGCGACTGCTGTGCGCCCCGGCCGGCGCACACCTACACGCTCGGGCTCAATGCCTGCTACGTGCACTCCACCACACCAACTATCACCAGTACAAGGTAATTCTTCATTGACCTCCCTCATGCTTTGTCTTGTCTTTTATTTTGACCTGTGAATCATTTATGCCGTTTTGGTATCCACTCCCTTTTTTTCAATATTGAAGCATGTGACGTCAACGGTAGGTTTTTATATATGCGACGTAGATCGTCACTGTATTTTTGAATTACATTTTTAATGTCTACTAATTCTTATTGTTTTTCTAATATTCTTTTTCTCCAATACCAATAATATTTTACAAAAAATCTATCTGTTTTCAAATGTGCATGAGAAAGATAAGCTAAATTATGGCCATAGTTGTCACATCATGTCACTGACGTAATATTGAAAATTTAAATGTTGATGTAATTACTATGATACTGCACTAACTTTAAGTCTCTGCAGCACATGCTAATGGCACAAATGCAACACTCAACAGAAAAAAGTAAAACCACTTTATATAAAACCTTTTATGGAATAATAATATACATATATATACTATTCTCTACCTAGGACCAAGCAATCCTTAAGTACGTTTGTACGTCGCTACAAGAGTTGCGCGATACAGCGGATGCACGAAACATCGACCCCGAGTCTTACTTCCGGCTCGTGCTGCTCGCACGCGGGGTGGCGGTTGCCCGGCCACAACACCTCGTCAAGTACAGCGCCCCAACACCACAAAAGCCTGCCAATGGTATCATTCATTATTATGTTTACTTACAAATTATCACGAAAACACATAAACAATATTTAGTTTATGTATAGCTATTTGTTACTTTCTGTTTTTTTTTTTAATAAATTATATAATATATCAGTCAAATGTCACTAAGATCTGATCAACCATTTATTTATGAAAAGGTTACATACTGAATGACACACTTACTTTCCTATTTATAATTAGCAATAATACTATATTTTATGATCGCTTAAATTGGTTTGCTCGTTTATCGGACATGAGAATTCACAAGCACGCACTTTGCGTCTTTTGTTTTAATTATTAGTAGTCATACTCAACGATACGAGTGTGTGATTTTCCATCGAATCATATGGCGCCTCGCGATTCTCTTTCAGAAAAAAATACTATAATACTAATAGTAGCAATTAATTAGTCAAAAGCTTTTTACCAAATTCTTAAAAAAACAGGCGACTGGTCAGTGCTGTGGAAAGGCACGAGCGAGAGTGAAGGAGAGCAAACACAAGAGCAGGAGATGGAGAAGGAGACGCACGTGTGCGCGCTGCTGACGAGCGTGCTGTGGAGGCTGGCGGCGTGCCGGAGCGCGGCGGGCGGCCCGCCCGGCGTGCTGTCGTACGGGCTGCGGCACGCCGACCACACGCTGCACGCGCTCGCTGACATCGTGCACGCGTTCCAGCTGCACGCGGACCCGGACTGTGTCAGTAATCCTTAAAACAAGCTTACTATAAAATTGAAGAATTCGTTAACGATAATAATGTTTTTATAGAAAAACTTTAAATCCACAGCACTGACAATATAATCTGATTACACTAATGATGAGTGCGTAGCGATTTCTATGTTGATTATCGCATGCCTCTTACTTGTTATACTGTAATTATTATATAAAAAAAATATCTACTCAAAAGAGCAACACACAAATTTCTTGCTCATTCTTCTTGTGATGAATCTGCATTCCGAATGAGTGGTAGAATCAAATCAAATCTTTTTTATTTGCGCTAGACTTTTTAACGAGCCGAGTATGGGGTCAGAATACTGTAATACAGGTTTTGTACTATTCACTTTTGAATAGTCATACTATTCAAAAGTGCTTGTAATGAGTTTATTTGAATAAAGATTATTTCTATTTCAAATCACTATACATATCACGCTTTTAATACTATTTTACATTACAAGAGATTAAATAAACATTTAATCATTACTATTATTAAATTTTTATTTATTCTAGTCTATTAATATTTACAGAAGTTTGTAAAGAATGGAACGGAATCTATACCAGGAAATCCAAAACCTGTATTACAGTATTCTGACCCCATACTCGGCTCGTTAAAAAGTCTAGCGCAAATAAATAAGAATTTGTGCAATTAAATCGGTATAAAAAAAAGAGTATATGGAATGAATAAGTTTAAGACAAAAGTTAGAAGTTTAATAAATAAGTTACGCAAATATACAGTCTACACAGTTATACACATGACTATATCATGCTCAGTGATACTTAAAACGAGTGTCTATAAATGTTAATATTTTATTTGTTATGTGGTTTGAATGATATAAAGGAAATATTTAATTAAAAAAGATTTAATTTATTTTGCAAAGAAAGGATTAGGTGTGCAGAACCATATCTATTAAAATGGCTGTTTTTCTACTATTACTACTAGATGTTATTATTTAGAATGTTCATATTTAAGATGTATATTTTTTATTACAGATTGATTTCGGAAATCAAATCTATCTGTCTCTGTTACTGGCTGAAGATCAGAGTATCAGTTTCGGTGCAAAGGCTGCACTAATGAGAGTGCTACGACCTAGAGTGAAGAGGCGACGTGTCTACATTCCATCACCACCCAATACGCCTGGTAAGCGCAGATCTTTGTTAATTATTATGCATATATAGGAAATATTTCTTTTTTATATGAACAGGACCATGGAACACCTACCACTCATTGCCCTATCTGAGAACTGAGGTGTCATGTCTGTATTTGTATGGTCCTAAAGACAATTTTTCTAGGAATTATCGCAGTTTTTTTTCATTGTTTACGTATATATACTACATATACTATACATTTTTTTGTTATAAGGTGCTGGTTCATCGGTAACGACAGGACAACCGGCCAGATCGATCACAGAAGCGGCAGTCTCTGAATCGGAGCTGAGCGCGAATCGAGACGAACAACAAGACAACCAGTTCATGGAAGTTGACGATTCGCTCGAACCAATGGTGCTACTTGCACCCGACGGAGGTATAATGAGCAGTATTATAGTAGTATACTTATGTATTATTAGTAGTTATCGTGTAATGTAATAACACGTTACTGTCTTCAATGGAGCATGGGCGTCTTCCTTTTATCTTAATTTTCATAAGCCCCTTGCAATAAAAAAAAACTTTTTTGTAAACTGCTTACCCGAAATTTCTTTAGCTTTATTTAAACCGTTTAATAATGAAATTAACTATTAATTAACTGACGGACAAACATTGGCATTCATAATATTAGTATGTATTAATGTAATTATTATTACGTTACTTACGTAAGTCCTACACATAGGAATCTCTATTTGCCCAGCAGGTCGACTGGGAGAAAATGCCTCAATGTTTTAAGTCAGCCATGTACAGCATTTATTTGTGTTTTAATAAATAAATATGATAATTATATAATATAATAACATCCAGTCCATTAGTAATTCACTAGTCTACTTTCATAATGTAAATGAAGCTTGATGTATATCCATCTGGATGTCACGCGATAGGACTGGATGCGTTGCTGGACATCCCGCCGGACGCGGACGACGAGACGATGGTGGAGCTGGCCATCGCGCTGTCGCTGCAGGACCAGCCGCGCCGCACGCCGCCCGCGCCCTCCGCGCCGCCGCCGCCCGCGCCCGGCTTCAGTGACGTCACCGCCTCGCCACAGGGGTACGGTACACAACTCTACATCTATACATATAAATATAACCGTTTTTTTATATAAATACAGTACATACACCAAAATAATATTTTTTACAATTTTTGTCTGTCTGTCTGTTTCTCTAAAATGGCTGGACCGATTTTGACGGGACGTTTTTTGGCAGGATCTGATAAACTTAGGCTACTTTTATTTTAGAAAAATAAAGTTAAATTCCACGCGGACGAAATCGCGGGTACGACTAGTTTCTAATGAGAACCCGGTACACCGGTAGCGGTAAGCGATGTAGTCTATCTATTCTATTAGCACTTGTACAAGTGTTAATAGAATAAAATACAAAATTACTTATTCAAATAATTAAGTTTATTTAAATAAACATTTTTCTGTTCTATTTAAGCATTTTTGTATACTCATACATATTTTTTAATCTACCCATCATTCGGTGAACTGTCTCATCACAAGAAGAACGAGCAATAAACTTGCATGCTGCTGTTTTAAATAATTGTTGTAACTTCCATTTTTAAGTTGAAATGTATTGAAAAACACTACCAACTAGCACTCATTCATTAGAGTCAAAATAATAACTGGCTAAGTAATTAAATAATATTAAATCAGTCGTAGTGATTAGAGCTGATCAGTCCCTACTAGCAGCACTCGTTCACGAGTAAAAAATGTTACATGGGTCGTATACTTATCATATATTTACCTGGCTAGTTCTGACGACGAAGGCAGCACCGCCGCAACGGACGGTAGCACACTGCGCACGTCGCCCGCGGAGGCTCCCGGGTCGGCCGGCTCGGCCGGATCGGCCGGTTCCGCTTCCGACAGCGCCGGCTCCGGCGCAGACAGTACCGGCGGGGTCTCCGGTCGCAGCAGTGCCTACGGTACGAACACCTCACTTAATGGTTATATTTAAGTGCTTAGAGATTTATTCAATTATTGAAAGTCACGGGATCTTATCACGTTTTATTGAATTATCGATATTTCGGCAGTGTTTTAACCGCTATGATCATGGGTAAACTGAAAAGCAGCGGGTAGATTGTTTTAGTTTTAATAAAATATTCGTCTACTACACGTCTTCGTTTGTTGCTACTATTGATTTTTACTAATATATGTATAAATTTGGACTGCGTCGAATTTAAAACAGTATATATTCAATTAGGTTAGCACTGGCTTGTCTCGTTATTTTCAAATACAAGCAGAGATGGAATACATTCCACTATATTTTTTTATTTCAAGTACTGCTTATTTGAACTAAGGCAAAATTTTTATTTGGCGTTTATACATTACTTAGGTGGAAGTGTTGGATGATTGTCAACCAATGTTTCTTGTAAAATATACTTGTTTTCTATAAAGTCTAAATATGCTACGTATAATTTGATAGTTACGTGTCTATCTTAATCTGTCTGTAAATATGTTCTACGCTAAGTACCTCTATGTTTAATATCGAGGTTTTCTGATCACATATAAAATGTTGTAGGAGATACGGGGTCCGCTCCCTCAGCGGGGATGATGGCTACCTCCAATATCAACGATGTGCCTGTTTTTATATCAGGCTAGTATTATTAACAAATAGAATTATAAGAATTATTTCTCTACATAACGCGTTTGTAACTTTTGCTTTGTAACATTTTCTAATTTTCATTCGCAATTTTTTATGAGTGTTTGTAGTTCAAGTTCAAACAGTGTGTGGTAGCGAATATTTATTTATTATAATTCTATAGCGGGAGCCTCGACTTCGTCTCAGCCTGTGCCCTCGACGTCCCGTGCGATCGAAGCGGAAACGGAAACACGGAAACTACACGCGTTGAGGCTGTCACTATTGTCAGCTGCTTTAGACGCGCTGCCGTCGCTCCGCACACTGCCTGGAGTGCGAGCTATACCATTTGTACAGGTATGTAAAGTTCCTTCATAATAAATATTTAAAGTTTTTGCTATTTTTTGTACACCTTATAGTTTATTTATTTTATTTATTTTGTTGTTTATCATTACACGAAATACATTCCGTAACAATTCTAGAATTGTACTGAAAACGTTGCTGGAGTAATAAAACTGTGTTCTCTAGATTCATACATGACTGTTTAATTTCCGCCTTTCGTGATAAAAAGAATATTTATAATTCTCAATACTCAAAACTTTTGACTAAAAACATTATTTATATTATAATTTACTCAATTTGTATTAAATGTAATTTTGTTTTATATTTCATAGACTGGTTAAGAGTTCTAAGTATTTATTGTGACCAATATCTTCATAGGTGGTTCTCATGCTGGCCGGAGATTTAGACTCGAGCGTAGAAGGTGACCGAGTAGTCCTTGAACGGCTTCTAGAACTGCTAGTATCGGAATTAGACATTCAGGCCGACGAGACAGCACCAAGCGAACAGGACCGTACCGATCGCCGCGAATTGCAGCTGGCCATTATGCGTTTGGAGCTTCTAGTGTCGGAGTTAGATATGCAAGAGGAGACCTCGCCACCCATACACGAGAGGACTAATAGACGCGAGTTGCAGCTCGTTATAATGAGATTGCTGAGTGAGTTCATATTAAGTTGTGTCAGTTACGTTGTATTGTGTTGTTTAAGTATGAATTTATTGAATTAAATTAGTGTTCAAAGTTTCTATATAAAACTAACAACCTTATGAAAGACAAGATATTTCCAATTTTTCATTCACCGTATAGGAACTTTGCACACAAATTCAATCAATCAACTATTTCACTTGATAAAGAACTCGTGTATCGCGTGAACGTGTAAAGGCAGCTAATGACACAAATGTGTATCGTATAGGTGTGTTGATGGCCCGGTGGAAGACGTCCGGGTCGGGAGGGTCAGGCAGCACGGGCGGCGGGAGCGGAGCTCGGGCGGAGGTTGCGGGCGCGAGTGCGGCGCACGTGTCGCGACTGGCGGCCGCCGCGCTCGTGCGGGCCGGCGCGCCGAGACACTGCTACAAGGTGCTCTCAGCGCTGCTGCCCTACTGGAAGGAGAAAACCTCCAGTGAGTATCGTGCACAACATGACGCTAGTTTGCAATGGAGTACAGCGCTGTAGCGCTGTTTAGACTACACCAGTTTGATGAGTGCAGATTTCTGTACCCAATGTCGTAATACTTACACTATCTATTAGTAACTTACATATATAAATAGAATGAACAATTTTCATTGAGTTTCCATGTATAATAGGAATTCTTGTCTACTTTATCTAACTACGGCATGTTTCAATTGACAGATAGGAACACTTTATATGGAAATAAGAATACATCAAGCAATATGTAAGAAAAGAAATTACATCACATTAGCCATTATTTTTTATTTGGAAAATGGTAACAATTTTAATATAGGTTTGTGTGTTCAACATGTAATTTATGTTTTTTACCATTTTTTGTGTAAGTCACATACTTATAGACAACAACTTTTCTACAGACAACTACTTCCCAATAAAGATTAAAAGCTACACAGTAGTGTAACAGTTATAATATAGAAATTAACTTTTGTTATATTTATGTTAATCAATAGACACTACTACAACAAGTCCTGGTCAGCAACTATTGAAGCCACAACCACCACTACCGCTGCCTGACATGCAGCCGTTCTTCGTCAAAGAATATGTCAAAAGTAAGTTCAATATTCCATAACTGATGCTTGGACTGTGAAAAAGAAGATATGAAATATTCTATTCTATATCAGTAAATATTTAAAAAGTAAAATAACTATATCTAGATTGTAATTACAATTGCTACACTTTCGGGCTTTTGTAATTTTTTGCCATAATGACCTCACTTTAAGAATTAAGTATGTCGTATACTTAGTTCGCATACCTGTCAAGCTAACGTGGACGATGTCGTAGGCAGAAGTTTGTTAATAATTTTATTTTTCATTATCTGTTCAGGCCACGCTCTAGACGTGTTTGACAACTACCCACAGCTGCTTATGGAAATGGCGCTGCGTCTGCCGTGTCAGATACATAAGCATTGTGATCCATCGCATTTCGATATGCGCTGGCGTTCCCTACTGTGCGAGTATATGATGAATCAACAGACACCTCTCAGGTAAAGGAGTTATCATTGATTTTATTGCTATATATTGAAATGAATTGACGTGAAATAAAAATATACTATTTGATCGGAGATGGGTTTATGAATATGTATTCTGATTTAAAAAGGTTTTATTGTATTTTCTGAAAGAATTTTCAAGATTTTACAATTCAAAAGGATTACTCACATCAGAATCTATACTAATTTCTGTATTATTATTGATTATGGATTGAAATCTTAAAATTGATGTTTAGGTATTATTGGATATATGTAATTTTTACTAACACACTACTCAGGCTGTAAAATCATATCAAAAAATAATTTATTCATGTAGGACATTTAAGCCGCTTATGTATGTAAAGATTTTTGTATCAATATTTGTTCCCTACCATTCAGTTCAGTCTGAACTGGCAAGAATTGAACTGAGAACTGGCACGAAACTCAACTAAATTTCTTTTTTAAAGCCAGTTTATTTACTCAGTTTATGTACTCTGCTATAGGTGTCTATGTCTAACATTAGATGAAAATCCCATGCATGAACAACTTGTATTGAAAATACTTATTGTGGTGTACTTGTGTGTGACATCTCAGGAAGCAAGTCCGCAAACTGCTGTTGTTGTTATGTGGCACTCGCGAGCGTTACCGGCAGTTGCGTGACGTGCACGCACTCGACACGCACCTGAGCGCCGCGCGGGCACTTCTCGCCACAGATCCTGCTTACGACAAGCTCGTGCAACTCATGGATCACCTTAAGGTAGATCTAATGTAACTCATTGTTAAGGATGTAATATATTATTTATGTTCTTAGAATTAAAAACTCTTTGACTCACACATACAGCAGTCATGCATATGAATACGTACACAGAGAAACTAACTTCTAATTCAGATATTATATTATAATTCTATAAATTAATGTTTCCATTATTTTTTTATTGCATAATATATATTATTTGATTTGAACCTCTTAAATTAAAGATTAGAGGTAAATCTTTATTGTATTCCACAACATTTTGTTTTTCTTTTGCTAAGACTGAAAATCTGTTATTCTCTAGAAATAGGTAGTAATAAAGTCAAGTTTGTAGAAAGGCTAACTCGGTTAAATACTAATAATTTCATTCACATTGTGTAGGCGTGCGCAGAGATCGTAAGCGCGCGTACGGGTAACTGGCAGCACACGTGCGCGGTGGAGCGGCGCGAGGCGCTGGCGTGGCTGGTGACGGTGGCGCGGCGCGTGCACCCGCACGTGGCGCCCACCGTGCTGCAGCTGCTGCAGGCCGCGCTCTGCTCACCGCTGCACCACCACGCGCGCCAGGAGAACAAGGTACCGCACGCTCGCCTCCCGCACTCGGTACTCGGAGGAGCGGCGCGAGGCGCTGGCGTTAGTTTGCCTTAAGAATTGTAACGTTCTCAGTATTTAGTTTGATGTTACGTGAAGACAATAACCTTTTCCCCCTTGATCGCAACTATAAACGCCCCATAGATCTTTTAATATGCCCCATACTGCCATAAAGTACTGTGTACCAAGTTCGAAGATATCTAACGTTGTTTTATATTATACTATATCTTGATCCGGCGGCGCTGTCTGCGTGTAATTTGTTACTTTCTGATACTATCACGAAATATTAAAATCTTTCCCTTTTAGAGTACACTAATATTAACTTTAAAATGTTTATGTATAGCCCTCAGCTGACTGGTCGGAACGAGAGCGCAGTGCCGATAGCGACGCGTTTGTGTCTGACGGGTCGAAGTTCCAAGAGCAGAGAGTACCCGCTCTCGTGCAACAGATTCTGAAACAGGTATATTGAAAGGAAATATAAAGAAATACAGATGTTGATTATAATAAGAGATATTTTATACAAATGTTTTTGTTCACAGGTGTCTCAGGATGAGCTGAAAATGTTCGTGAAAGCATTTTTATTGGAAACCAATTCAACTGCTGTTCGTTGGCAAGCACATGATCTTCTGCTGGCCATACATAAGTAAGTGCAACAAATTGATATGTAATCCTGACTTCCTTTTACTAAGTGTATTCTAAGAGGAAAATAAGTTTTTTTATTGAAATGTAATTATGTAAACACAACTACTTGTTGTGCTCATTCTGACTTTGATTACCTCGTAGCATGTTCTGATCATCAACATTCTTTGAACCCATTTATAATAGATACAACAGTTCTTGTCAGTTATATTTTTTTCGATTTGTTTCCTCCATATTTTATACAAAATAAACGAATAAATAATACTACACATCCGACGGTAAACCTTTCCTATTTCTATGTACTATATAGTATATTATCTATGTTTTATATATAGTATGTTTTTTTCTATGTACGCTTGAAACACCAGCATTGCACGTATCGTACCGCAAACATTATCATATACACTTCTATTTTTTTATTTTACTATTCTCTTTTCTTCCTCTCCCTTTTATAAATATAGCTTCATATTAGCAATTCCTTTAGTCACATAACATTTTCGTTACCATACAGAAATTCCCCGCAATCAGAGCAATCATCTCTTGTGTCATTAATGTGGGGCATCTGGCCGACGTTGCCGCAGTACGGACGCAAGGCCGCGCAGTTCGTCGACCTTCTTGGATACTTCACCTTAAAAATACCCGATCTCGATACTGAGGTAAGTTGTGACTAAGCATTCATGAAATAGTTCATATTTTTGTGTGAAAAACAGTGTTATTATTATTCAAATTTCCTTTCGTATACTCCTCATCTCCAGGATTCCATAAGAGGCGACTACATGGAACAAATTAAAAATATATCATAGACTTCAAATAAAATCTTATATATGTAACTAATCATATGAAATCGCCTGGTCAGGATGGTCATAATAGACTAAGTCGCCGTTTTCTATTGTAATTTGTATTGTCTATAAAATGTCTTCCAATTATATTCATTTGATATTTATATTATTTATAATGTTATGTCTTAATATGTTGTGATTAAACTCAGTTTAATTCACGACCTTTGTCTTTTACGCAATCGCATATATAAACCTTACTGAAATTTTAAAAGTGGTCTCAATAAATTGTATTTTGAACTGTGTCTTAAATATATACGTTTTCAATATTATTCGGCTAAGTATATAAACTAAAAATATTTCTTGTCAGTTCTGTGCCTTATCTTTTTAGTGTAATAGCAATTCTAATTATTGCTATACACAAATGAATGGTATTTGTAGACAATAGAATTAACCTACTTCAGGAAGAATAAAAACTTGGCAAGTCATAAATATTTCTTTCAACAGAAATACGTTGGCAGTGCTGTAGAGTTATTGCGCAACCAAAACTCCTTGCTTTCATCACACGGCAATGCTGCTCTGTACGCCGCATTAGGAGCATTCGTGGAACTCGACGGATACTACCTCGAGTCGGATCCATGTCTCGTGTGTAACAACCCTGAAGTGCCTATGGCCACTATCAAATTGCCCACCATCAAGGTTAGTTACCTTTGAAATATAGAACTATCTGTTTTTAATTTTTAAATATATGTGCTTATATAAGCTTTTTAAATGGGTTCTGTTTGAGTATGCTATGACACATACAGTCTGGATGCTGATGATGTTGCTTGATGTATAAATTATATAAGCTTTTTAAATGGGTTCTGTTTGAGTATGCTCTGACACATACAGTCTGGATGCTGATGATGTTGCTTGATGATAAATTTCGGACTGCTTGCTATCTTTATTTTTTGTTAATGTGAGTACATTTTGCTCGAGTGTGGACTTGATGCTTGCTTGTGTGGACTGGAGGGAAAATGGTATGTTTGTGTGTGACGCGCCATTACACTGAGGAGATGCCCAAAATTAGTCGTGATGATATCGAGATGACTCAAAAATGGAAAATCCCCTGTTCAAGACAGAATGACCATCGAGCGCCTGAAGGCCAGATATACTCCTGTATTTCGGTACTTCAGGAATTCTTCAAGTCAGTTCTCTTCAATGGGAGAACGCCATATGCTTGGAGTAGGATCATAGTTATATTGTTCTTCAAAAAGAGACAAATCTGGTCTGCAGCGGGCTGAGGATGATGTAGAATGGTTATAAAGCATACAACTTCGCGTACAACAATACCAAAGTCCCGCCCATTTTCAATGCATGAAGGGTCTACAACTGGTCAAATTGAGCAAGTCTGGTTTCATTTTTCTGTATCCAGCAGTTGGGAAAAGCCTCAGTTACAAAAAACATCTATGAAAACGTGCTGCGGACGACTTTAACATCATTAAAAACCGCTACCGCAATCTGCTTTTTTTTTGTTTCTTGCCAACTCTTTAAGGACTAATTCGTTGTACCGATCGCAGATCGACTCGAAGTTCACTACAACGACCCAGATCGTCAAGTTGGTCAACAGCCACATGATCAGCCGCATCAGCTTGCGCATTGGCGACATCAAACGCAGCAAGATGGTGCGCACCATTAACTTCTACTACAACAACCGCACAGTGCAAGCTGTGCAGGAACTCAAAAACAAACCAGGTAGGTTTAATATAGTATACTTAAGTTAGAAACTTTATTAAAATAAACTTAATTTTAAGCACTTTTCAATGGTATATTTTTTTTATTCTACCGCCACATTCAGAATGTGGATTTGGTTGAAAATAATTGATAAGAGGCTTGGCTGGTGTTCTCTTGTACGTATTAGTATTAGGATAAAATGTTAACAGGTTTCCTTTGTTGTTAGTCCTAAAAAAAATTTAGCATTCCGATGATACATTTTAATACTCGGATCTTATTCAAGTATCGAATATACTACTGCGTCTTTCAACTAATTTGACATATATACTTGAAACTGGCAACTTCGGATCCCAAATCCGAATAGATATTGTCTTCCCATCTATTTTAAAGTGTGATTATTCACTGAAATAACTTCGTTTATAGTTTGCCTATATCTAGCTTATTTATACTAAAAAACCATTTAAAAGAGACCTAAAATATGTTATGATTTATGTTTGTAGGAATGTGGCACAAAGCTAAGCGCGTGCAATTGCAATCTGGCCAGACAGAGGTTCGTGTCGATTTCCCTCTGCCCATTGTCGCTTGCAACCTCATGATGGAGTATGCCGACTTCTATGAAAACCAACAAGCTACAGGTGAAATACGATCTATGTGTCTTTAAATTAAATATGACATTGAGTAAAAAAATACTAAATCGATGTGTACTTTTAGGTGAATCATTGCAATGTCCTCGATGCTCTCAGTCGGTGCCCGCAAACCCTGGTGTTTGTGCGAACTGCGGCGAAAATGTTTTCCAGTGTCACAAGTGTCGGTGAGTGTGTATAAATTTGTATTGCTGCAATGCTCAATATATTATTAATTTCTACTATGATTGTCCTGTCGTACACACAGACAGATGATTGTTTTTTTTACGGAATAACTGCAAATAAATAACGACTAGTATTCTTTATAAATTAGAGATAGATAACTTTGACCAGTAATGTCTTCTTCAGTGCATACTCTCATATAAATTGTAATCATAACATATAAACACCTAAGCAAGATTATATATGCAAAAAGTTTTAAACCCGTAATTTATTGTAGTGCGATAAACTACGACGAGAAAGATCCGTTCCTTTGCCACGCCTGCGGTTTCTGCAAGTACGCGAAGTTTGACTACACGTTAACAGCACGGCCATGCTGCGCGGTGGATACGATAGAAAATGACGAGGAACGGAAGAAGATGGTGCATACTATCGGAGCGCTGCTAGATAAGGCCGATCGCGTCTATCGGCAGCTAGTTGCCAACAAGCCGGTACTAGAGGTAAATATGTATTTTGTATGCTTTTGTTTCGTTCTATGATGGATAGATGGATGTTTGTTAATTTTTCGTAAAAACTACTGAATGTATTTTTTCGAATCTTTACAGTAATATAGCTATCATCAGAATAACATATAGGCTATAAATTTCATGCGGGTGAAGCCGTTATAACATTTGGTGCAGCTAGTATAATATGAATAGTAATATATATACTGATAATCTTACCTAAATAAATAAATAATTTATTTCTTGTAGTCGCTCCTCCACAAAATAAGCGAGCATCGTCTTGAAGGTCGCATGGGCGACGAGAACAGTAACACGTCCAATTCATCATTCAGCGGGGCGCAGATCAACCGCGTCATACAGACGCTCGCTCACAAGTACTGCGTTGATAGTAAGGGACACTTCGAGGACCTCTCCAAGATCATTCAGAAGGTGTTGGCCTGCAGGTGAGATGTAGTTAACAAACGAGTTCTAGAAAGTTCTAGAAATTTTGTCTGCGTGGTTACTTCTGTCCTATGTCTGTCCCCATGCACTCTGCTTTTATAAACTTTGTTTGGTTTAAAAGGTATTGTAGTTTAATTACGGGACATAGAGCCATGACAATAAATAATTATATAATACATCATACACTTATTAATACAAAATATGTTTTTTCCAATTAATAATGGACATAAGAAAAAATGATGCCACATAGATATACCCGTGGGAAGCTGCTAGTTGTTTGGGCAATAATAAAATTTATATAACTAAATATGTAAAGGATAAGGAAAATGGCTCTCACTGCCAAGAAGACATAAACCTCTTTCATGACTTAAGTAATTACACAATATATACGTTTAAAATGATTTGAATTTTTATTTATTTCTGCTGTGAAATAAAGCATATTTCTTCATTAAATGTACTTTCACTTATAGCAATCAATTTTGTTTACAGGAAAGAGCTTGTGTCCTATGACAGGTCACAAAGTGAACAACTGAAAGGAGAAGAAACATTACCAGTTTACGCTGGTCTCGTGCAGAATTATGATGGAGACTTTAATAAAGGTAATTACTAATTATGTTAAAGAACTATTATGCAAGTTACGTGTGTTAAAATAGTGCATAACTTATATACCAATATCTGTAGTCGCTATATATTATACTTATAACTTGCCGTACAGCATTAAATACCTACTAGTATTTAATTCTAATGGAGATTGTGCATCCCGTAACTTTTATTATCGACTGGATTTAAATCACAACCATGTAACTGAATACAATTTCAATCACAGTGATTATTTTATGAGTTCATCACATTACGAGCAAGTGTGTTGAAAAAGCGACTATCAGTAATAGTACATTATGATGATTATTGCTTGCACTGCCAGAGTCGAGCGGGCCCAGCGCCTGCTTCGGGTGCTCGCTGGCGTGCGCGGAGCACTGCCTCACGCTGCTGCGCGCGCTGGCGTCCGAGCCCGAGCACCGCGCACGGCTGTGCCGCTTCGGGCTCGTGCAGGAACTCGTGCAGCACAACCTGCACCGCGGCACGCCACAGGTACCTCGCACACCTTGCGACTGTCGCGCAATCGCGTTCTCAGTGTTCGCGTTCATATGATGCAACTTAATTGTTATTCTCTAAACAATCCTTTAGGGTCTCGCTGCCTGGATTATGTGACCAGGATTCAGTTTATCATTATCGTGTTGGGTGTGATTTAGTTTTCCATTTCTTCATACATACATCAAAGTGAGAAAAGAAATACTTTAAAGGAAATCAATTTATTTTTATTTGAATAAAGTTATATTATTATTATAATTCTTCCCCGAAATTGTAATCCCAGACTGAGAAGTTAATTGTCGATGTCACGGTAAACACAATAGTTGACATTCCCACTTTTTAAATTCAACTTGAAAATATGCTGATCTACTGAAGTCTTTCGGAATAATTTGTTTCCACCATATAGTATTTAGTAATATGGTTTGGTACCCTTGTTGGCTCAATTAAAATTCACGACTCTTAAGTCTAGTAAATACAAGTCCAATTGGCTAGCTATCAGTATCAGTATTTCATCAGTAATAATCAGTATTAAATCCTACAAGTGTGTTTATTGCTATAAAAAGGAATTAATTTCTGTTCAGTGTCAATTAGAGGTGCGGGCACTAATCTGCCTCGTAACACGTGACAACCTACCGGCAACTGAACAACTCTGCACCCTTTTATCTCAGCGGATTACGCTCTCACTGATGGGACATGCAGCATCGCAGGATCACAACAACTCGGTAAACGCATTGCAATTATTCAACACACGAATGATCCAATATAGTTGTATTTCTATATGCAATATAATTGTTATACATTTTTTTACTTGTATAAAATATTAATATTTTTATTGAATTGGAAATAAAATTTACAAAATGAGAACCATTTAAAAATAGCATTACTTACTGTATAGTAATGTTTTGTATACAAACTTGTGAATTATATAAGTTAATTTTACTCATATACTATTTATGTATATAAATCATGAGATTCACTTTATTTTATTTGAAGGTTTTTTTTTGTAACTGTACGGGAATTTTATTTCTCGCGACATTTGTTCCACCTTCACTCGGAAGTCTTTTAGGTCAGTACGACGGGTTCTTTAGAGCGTCTCGTCTATCACAGTGCGAGGTATAATACATTACACGTTGTCGTGCAGAGTTATTAAAATATTAGTTCAAAATTAACATAAGTTTCATTTTATGGTATTTTTACAAAAATATTTATTCTCAGGTTCGCCCGTTGGTCCTATTGTTGGGATCGTTGGTGAAAGTCCAAGATTCAGTGGAGTGTTGGGAGGCGAGGTTGCGCTGTATTGTCAAACTTTGGGTGTGGTAAGTTCAATATATTTTAACCCATAATCCTTACATAGTATAAAAGAAAGATGCCGCCGCTGTGTGTTCGCCTATATCTTTTAAATTACTCAACGGATTTTAATTCAGTTTTCAGCAATAGATATATACATATATATAGGCGTGTTATATTATAGAACAAGCAGCGAAATTTAAAGATCTATAATGCATCCGTGCGAAGTCGGGATGGTTAGGTAATAGTATATATACAATAATTATGAATTAAAATTACGTTGCAATATTTCTTCAGGTGTTGCCCTCAACTAACGGAAGTTGCTGGCATACCACCAGCTGCTAACACCATTCTAAAAGCCGAAGCTTTGGCGGGAATACCAGGAATCAACACCTCATCACCTAACTGTGAGTATAATTTCAACATTGTATATGAATATTTATTTAGTAACCGATTCAACCATTGTCTTGTATTATTTTTTATACACGTATTATTTGGGATCGTATTTTAAAATTTTGAGTTGCCTTAGGTTTGAATTATGAGTTAAGTTTTCCAATTAAAATATTATTAATATTATATTATAATGTTATGTTATTCTTATAGAAATAGAAATAATATTTATAAGTAAACTAAGTTGAATACTTTTGAATAGCCTTTTTTTATTTATTCTACAACTCATTGGGAACGCAGACTTGCGTGTCGCTTTTTTAAATAATTGTTATTTATAATTACAGTTTTATGCATTTTATGTGTATAGATTAATATGTTCAGCAAGCGTTTTAGACCAAAGTAGTTGATATTTTATATCAAATGTTTTCTGTGTGTTGATCTTAGACACTTTTGGTAATTATAATAAGGTTAAATATGTTTTTATGAAAAATGAAATGTTTTTGCCAGCACACCAATTTGCGCTGCAACAAGTAGCGCTCCCATGCCTCCGTTATATGCAACAGTTGATGGCGCCACTCGCAACCACTGTTTCTACAACATCGGCGGACACGGAACCCGCTAAGGACGCTAAAGTAAATTGTTTATCAATTTTTAACCTCCTCATATACCTTAATATAAAATAAGGTTAAACCTTCGTATACCTTAATTAGAATATTTAGTGATAATTAATGTGAATGTATGTATACCTTATAATCTAACAATTAAATCCCAATCAAGTGGTCATGTAACTAAATGTTTGAGTTTGAGTGATCGTATCGCTGCCATTAAAATTACAGTCAGTGAACGCACTATGTTGTTTTTTAGTATATACATGCCTACGAATACTCCTGATAATTTTGTTGAATTTTGTAATTGCCTGAGTGAAGTAGCAGCAATCGTCGAAAGTTCAGGTACCGAAAATATATATATTATGGGAGATTTTAATGCGCATATTATTTGAAACGGAATTATTAAATTTTTGTAATGAACAACAATGGAGTTGTGCCGACTATGTTATGTTAGGAAGGTTCTCTGGCACGTTTTCGTTCATCAGTGATGTATGTGGAAGTAAACGTTGGTTGGACCATTGTATTGTAACTGAAGCGGCATTAAGAACCGTTTGTGATGTGGAGATTTATGAGGATGTATATTGGTCTGATCACTTCCCGCTTGTAGTGCATATTAACTTGGGTATAGTAGCTATGAATACCTCTGTAAAATACCAAGACTGGCAAAGAGATCCGGCTATATGGGGTACACGAGAAGTGACGCAGGTAGATAATTATTTTCGATTGTGTACAGAAAGTCTTAGTGCTTTAAATGTTCCTTTCGATGTTAGTCAGTGTGGTGACAGCTTATGTTGCAACGAAGGACATAGACAGTCAATTGATATTTTCTATAATAATATGATTTCATTAATTCGAAAAGCGGCTATCCTTAGTGGCAACTCAGAAAAAAGCGTATGGAGAAGGCATGCTGTGCCTGGCTGGAATAAATATGTTAGGGACGCTCATAGGCAGGCGAGGCAGGCTTTTATTAACTGGAAGTTCTATGGAGAGCCACGATGCGGGCCTCTGTATGTAACTATGAGGGAAAAAGGTAAAACATTTAAAGAAAAATTAAAATTTTGTCAAAATAATGCGGAACAAATTAAGTTGGATATTTTAGGCGCAGAGCATAAGGGTAAAAATTTTAAGAGATTCTGGAAGTTAACTCAGAAACTCAGCCCTAAACCTTCCATTCCTGTGAGCGTCAATAGCATAAGTAACCCAAAGGATATTGCGGATTTGTTTATGAATCATTTTAAGGTGGATCCAGTACTACAACCCAGTACGCGGTCGGAATGTGCTAGGAGCACTAAGTCAAGGGTACCAGTACAGTTCTCTACGGACGAAATAAAGTACGTTATAAAATCAATGACAAGAGGTAAATCGCCGGGTCACGATTCACTTAGTGTAGAGCATTTCCAGTGTGCAGGTCCGCAACTCCTGAGGGTATTAACTGCATTATATAATCTGTGTATACAGCATTCTTATCTTCCGAATGCATTAATGAGGACTATTGTTGTACCCATAGCAAAGAATAAGACTGGCGATCTCTCAAATAAAGAGAACTATAGACCCATATCGTTGGCTACTATTGCTGCGAAGGTGCTTGACGGTGTTCTTGAGAGACGAGTAGGCAAATATTTTAATATACACGATGCGCAGTTCGGTTTTCAGCCAGGACTGTCGACGGAGACGGCTATTATGGCGCTCAAGGACACGGTCAGGTATTATACTGATAGAAGTACACCTGTCTATGCAGTTTTCTTGGATCTTTCCAGGGCGTTTGACCTGGTTAATTATGATATATTATGGTCAAAAATGCATCGCCAAGCTGTACCTTGTCAGCTGGTTGATTTATTTAAGTATTGGTATGATCATCAAGTTAACCAGGTCAAATGGTCGGGTTCGTTCTCGGAAGAGTATAGGTTGAGGTGTGGGGTGAGACAGGGGGGACTGTCTTCTCCTGCACTCTTCAGTTTATATGTGAATGACCTGATTGATGGGCTTAGCAGTGCCAGGATCGGATGCTCCATACATGGAAACATGATTAACAGTATAAGTTACGCGGACGATATGGTGCTGCTGAGTCCATCGATTAGTGCACTTCGTCGACTGCTGAAGACGTGTGAAGAATATGCGGAGTCACATGGCCTCCGATACAATGTTAAAAAGAGCGAGGTCATGATATTTCATGGCAAAAATAGCACACAGAGAAGTATGCCGGCGGTATGTCTTTATGGCACACCATTGAATCGGGTGTCGCGGTTTAAATACCTGGGTCACATTGTATCGGGGGACTTGAATGATGACTATGACATAGAGAGGGAACGAAGAGCGTTGTCGGTCCGATGTAATATGCTGGCCCGTAGGTTTGCACGGTGTAATAACGACGTGAAGACAACGTTGTTTAAAGCGTATTGTCAGTCGTTTTACACGTGCGGCCTATGGTTTGGGTATACGCAGAGGGCATACAACGCTCTTCGTATACAGTATAATAATGGGTTTAGGATGTTGTTGGGGCTCCCTCGGTTCTGTAGCGCATCAGAGATGTTTGCAGCAGCGCGGGTAGATGGATTTCAAGCCATAATGCGTAAAAGAGCTGCATCACTGATGTCCAGAATTCGGGGGAGCTCAAACAGCATCCTAAAAACTGTTGCTAATATACCTGATTGTCCGCTCCAGAGGCACTGGATAACGTTGCATTGTGGACCCAGTGCTTCTGGACGTGGACACAGGTACATGAATTAAATTTATCTACGTATATGTATATTATAAGTTACTAACATAGTTTTATAAGTTTTTTACTAACACTATATGGATGTAATTCCGAATTAAAAATAAATAAATAAATAAATAAATAAGATTCAATCAGTTGTACTGAGACCAGTCCCTAAACGTTTGAGTATGAGGGATGAGCCAGCCATCACTGCTTTCGACATATTTTAGGGAGCCCAATGATCCGACCGACCATGCCGCCTCACGTCCGGATATTTTAGTAAGCATAACTACTCAAGACTAGACCACGTGGTAGTTATAGTATTACATCTGTATGATGTGTGTATAATTAAATAGTACGTTTGTATAAAAATAGTGTATCAAATGGGTTATATATTTCAGAATGATTATCTGTAGAATGCAAATGTTGTTTACGTGTTTTAGTTCTGAAATAAATACTAGATGGCGCTGTAAGATTGTTAAAATTCGATATTGAACTTCGATAGATAACTTTTATTATTCAGTATTTCGTAACACCATTATTTGATATCATTATACTTTTTCTGAATATCGAGGCACTGAATGGAGTCTATGAAGTCGTCTGACCTGTAGTACACTTAACCATAAGTTTCCATCGGTGGTACAGGAAACGGCACCAGCTTCTACGGCTGGCACCGGCAACGCGGCGTCGTCTCCGCTGGGCACAGTGGTGGTGGACCTGGCAGCGTGGCTGGCGGGCCGCGTGCCGCACTCGCGCTGGCGGCGGCTGGCGCCCGACAGACTCGAATCGCCGACGAACGACACCGAACCGCCGCCGCCGCCGCGCGATATACACCTCGCGCACAAGTACCTCACCAGGTGGCGCGAGAAGGTCAGTGATGCGTTTCAGATACCGCACTAAATTAACACATTGTTTTTTTTTTTTTTTTCAAATAGCTGTCTTTACACGTACCTACAGTCATGTAAAAGTAGGCAAAGAGAATGCATAAGCTTAAGCATTCCCCCGCGTTTGTCAATCGTACGTTCTTTAACGTCTTTTTAGAATAGTAATTGTAAATTAAAGGACATTTATCTATGGAGCGAAAACATTATAAAGTTGTAGATTAATCTAGTAATTTCAACGCGTTATCTCTCGTTTCAACCAAAACACGGCTTACAAAGCAAGCCGCTTGCCAGACGTACCCACGCAGACAACGTTTTTTATAAAGTTTATCTCGGTAAATAGGAAAATAAATTTTAAGCTTTTGCTTTTCTCTAACAGACTTTACTGTCACACGGCATGCGACCGCTGTGCCTGGAGGACGGCGGGTGGCTGCGGCCCGTCATGTTCGACCCGAGCTCGCGTATCGCACGCGACACCGCTTGTCAGATGATCAAATCTCTGTGCGACTCCTACGAGAGAACCAAAGCCGTAAGTGCATATAATGGATTATCGTGTTTTGTTTATTTATAATCTTTTTGAATGTAACTATAATTAAATTGGACACTGAAAAGTAGAACAATAGGTATATGTTTAATTTTCATATGAAATTATTTATTTTACCTACTTTTGTTTTAAATTGCTTTCTTATTTTATCTTCTCCACCACCTTTACATAGTCGAATTGATCATATTGCAGGTATTAATATTGCTAACAAGTTTCTTGCCCGAGGTTGGAGCAGCAGGCGAAGCCAGTGAACAATTTTTGCAACTTTATCAAAGTATGTACAGCACAATATTTGTATTTTTTTTATTTCAATAATTAAGAGGCCTTTCACATTTTTTGGCCTAAAAGCAGGGTCTTTGGGGTTCTGGTTCTAAGAAATTAAGACTCGGATATACATTTTGTTTCCTGAATTATATAGATAGATATCTAATCTTAAAAACAACATCTTTGAAATGTTAATTTTCTCTTTGTTAGTCTTCCTAATTTCTAAAATAGTTTATTCAAAAACGCTAAATGACAGAAGTTTGGGGTCGTCGTTCATTAATAAACAAACATAAATTGATATGATATCTTTACTAAAACTTGATAATTACTTTATAAATTGAGACAGCATCGTCCTTTTTTTCATTTTCAACTTAAATATCTAAAAGATTGATCATAATTAAACCCGAAATTTCAACAAAACTTTGCCATAATCATTTCTAATTTTCTCATAAATACAACGAAATTTTTGCATAAAAAAAACATAATAATAAAGTTAATATACTTGTAAATTAGAAATATGAAAAAAAAATATAAGTTTCTAAGAAAAAAATAAACAATAATAATAATTTAAAGTTGGATAAATTCCGTTGCGCCAAAAGTAAATTCTCAGTGCTGCGCTAGCGCTCGTCGAGGTAGGACCTATGCCATTTTTTACAACACCGCTAAGATAAGACATTCGTCAGTGAACATTAGTATAGAGCGACTAAACAATTTTGATAATTTAAGTAATATTTAATTAATTTTGCTAATATATACTTATTTCTACGAATATTAATTTAAAGTTGTTGTTAAATATATATATATATATATAATATTTATTTTAGCATCCCAAGACAAAAGTACAGTTATGCTACAAATAAAACCTACCTACCCTGCTGCACTATGAAAAGCACAAGAGCATGGTATTTCGTCACACTAATGGCAATTAATTGTTAAAATTAAAAAAGAGAACATTTTAGTATTTTTAAAAATAATCTGAGAGAAAAATGTAAGAAAATGTAAACCAATTTTACTCTATGTTTATTTTGTAGTTTTTTTCTAAATTAAAATAGGGTTATTGTTTATAAAAATACCATTATTATTTTTACGTACATTTGTCTTGTGTTATATAGTGTATATCATCTAGTATGCAATGTGGATTGTAAATAAATTACCAAATTATATATAAATTATATTCCTTAATGTTTAGAGATATTTTATCCAATTTTATTTTATTTTACACAATACAGATATTTTTTTTTTTTGAGGGTTGATAATGGAATGGTGCACCCGCCTGCGCTAACGGTTTACGCTGGCGGGGCACCAGTGGAGGATGATAAGATGAACATGAGGTCAGGTCAGTTAGCCCATCATGCAAATTCACCAGGAATTTAACATGATGGTTTCCAGGGGGAACCGCGTGGAGGTCGACCTGACATGGTACATTGCTAGCAATGGGGTTATCAATCCACATTACTAACAATCCCCTTCCCCCCCAATACAGATATTTCTAAATTGCAGCTATTCTGTTATTATACTCGTTGGACTTTCATTACTGTACAGTTATGTCAAATAATTATGCGTGTTTGGGTGAAAAGTCAACAACATTATAAATGTTTTTATTTAGAGACTAGCTTTTAGCTCGCGGCTTCGCCCGCGTGAATATGGGATATATAGGTTATCGCGCGTTTAAAGATCCGTGTACAGTATTGGGACGTTACATATAAACCTTCCTCTTGAGTCTATCTATTCTGTCTATTAAATAACAACGAAACAAAATCTGCGTAGTTTTTTAAGATCAAAACATACATAGATCTATTACATGTGTAGATGATATGTTAACCGGAAATTGAAGCCGTTAAAATGGTATTGGCAGATCAGTTGGAATCATCGGTATTCTTGGTATATAAGCTGGTTGCCCAGCTAACGTACCGGTTATAATGGTCTACAATTAAATTGTCTTTCAATTCTTTAGTAAGCAATATATCCAATGGGACGCCATTGCACATGTTCGGCGGGCTTAAATTTCATGACTGGATCATGCTTTTGAGAAATTCCTTCCTCAAGTTTGAGCATTTAGTGAGGGAAATCACTATCTGTGCTTCCATAAAAATGAGCTCTCAAATTTGTCAGTAGTTTTAAACTTTCAATTAAAGTCCATAAGGGAGACGATGTTAATGACACAGAGAGTCTTTCAGAAATCTCCAGCAAAAGTATAAAAGTAATCCCGCTAATGAGAGTAGAGGTGTTTCTAAGGTCTTTTAAGGTTCTGTCCAAAATCTCTATAGCTCATGGTGATTTCATTACATATAATCAATGAGGCGTCTTGTAATAATTTATAAAAAGGTTTGATATTAACAAGTAATTATTTATCAAGAATCAAGAATTGGCCAACCAAGAACGAGAAGCTGCAATATCAGCCAATATCATGCGGCGACGTCAATGATGCAGGAACAGCAATGACAGCAGTTGAAGCTTTTTTTTTACAACTTAGAATGGCAAACAAGCTGACGGCTCTCCTGATGGAAAGGGTAACCGTCGCCTATATACATGAGCAGTAGCTGACATGTTCATATCAGCACATTGTTTCCCTCATGCGTTGCCATTCCTGAAAACTCGGGTGTTATTCCCCTGTACCTTGTAAATTCACTACCATATATATACACAGGTAGTCTATATAGATAGATATACATATAAACAGATGGTATACCCTGAGAAAGGTCATAGACTACTTTATAGTGCGAAAAAAGTATTGTAAGGGATTAAAAGCGGAGATGAAAGGCTGTATAAAAGTATCGTCATTGTTTAAGTGAAACAAAGAAACTTTTTTAGGTTATAATCTAAATATATTTCTTTATTTGGTCAATTTCATTATACCACGCTGACGAAGTCGCGGATACACCTAATATACATATAAGGATGGGACCTTTAAATCAAAACAAAGCCTTGAAAACACAACTATTATATATAAATAAAATAATTCTTTGCTAAGTATAATATTTAGAACAAGTGAATATGGCAATAATGTATCCGACTCTTATAATAAATTATATTGTATCTATTAATAAATAAACTGAATTAATATGTAAGAAGAATTAATTAGTAAATTTATGTTATAGTAATTTCATCTTCCTGTCCTTATCCCAATTATTTGTTACTCATATTACTTAAGGTTTTGGCTTTTAGTTGTACAATCGGCCAGCATCCTGACATCAACCCTCTAGGAATAATATAATAAAAAAATATGGTCATTATTAGCACTTTGATAATTAAGATAAATCACGTTATTTAAAAAAATCCAATAAGTAGTTTATGTTACTCAGTTAAGTAGAAACATATCACATTATTAATTAAAATATTACAAGGATCAAAATGGTTCATACTAAATCCACACCGATTGAGCTACACGGTTATTTGCGTCTGTGTGCGTGTATTACTGTATGTGTGCGTAAATCCATGCGATTAAACCTAAAGTTGAGCGGCATCATTTTGTAATAGGCCTCTTAATATAGTATTACAATAATTGCGTCATTTTTAGGTCTGGCATCGGAGGCGCCATGGAAACAGTTCCTGGCATTACGTGGCGTTCTGCAACAAATAGCTGATTTGATGACAAAGGAGATCGAACAACTGCATCGTTTGGAAGAAACTACTCTCACTTCCGATCTCGCTCAAGGTATATTTTCTATTGAAATTCATACATCCTAGAACTCTTTAAACTTATTTGTAACCACACTGTTCTATGGGAAGGCAGTCCTATTTTGAGACTGGCGCCATATATATCTTCAAATATGTACAGACTTACGCTTTGTGTATACTGCTATTTGTAATTTATACATGTGTTTAAAATTAGAACAAACGTTACAATGCACTTTGCTGCGTAAATTACTTTTAGAAAGTACATCAAAGCGATCGAGATTTTGTGAATAACATGCTCTCGCGTAAATACAATACTGAATGGTATCATTAAGTGCACATATTCACAATGGATGTCTGGCAGGTAGACTTTTGTTTGCGACGGCATGTGTTCTAGTTTTTGTAGAAATAACTTTTAATATGTTTTCAAATGAATCATTGTATATATGCACTATAGGGTACGCCCTGAAACGGCTGACGGAGCTGTTGGCGATGTTCATGGAGGAAGGCGGTGCTCGGCGCACGTACAAGACGCGGCTGGTGGGCGCCGTACTGGGCGGATACCTAGCGCTGCGGCGCCTCGTGGTGCAGCGCACGCGCCTCACGGACGACACCCAGGAGAAACTACTCGAGCTGCTCGAGGAGATGACCACTGGTATGTACCACGTTTCTTTCATCCATACTACGTAAGCTGAAATGCAGGCGAGTCTCTATTTGAGTGCGCAATCTTTTTACAATGTGATAGAATCGAAATAAATTTCATGTAGTTATTATTAAAATTCCAATATTCGATATTTACGATTAAGATTCAAATACGAGTATATATATATTTGTTAATTCAGATGAATAGCTTTTTGAACACTCATGCAAAGCGTATATATGGGATCAGTTATACAGCAGGAGATGTATAGCTTTGTATATATATATAGTATGTCTGCGAGATTCATGTAGTTTCTTACATTTTTCAACTATCAACAGGCACAGAAGCAGAAACGGCAGAATTTATGGCCGTGTGTATCGAGACGGTACAAAAGTATCCATTACACGATTACCGAACACCCGTGTTCATATTTGAGCGGCTGTGCTCAATTATATATCCGGAAGAGAATGACGTCGGCGAGTTCTTCCTCACGCTCGAGAAAGATCCACAACAGGAAGACTTTTTACAAGTAAGTTCAGGTTATCGTATTTTTATGTGCTGTAATCTTGTATAATATTAGTTTGTTATGCCCTGTTTGAAACTTAGTCAACTTATAACTCAACGGGCGATCAGATTAAACTAGTATCTGAATAAAACTATTTATTTGCTGTAATTTGTAGGGTCGAATGTTAGGCAACCCTTACTCGTCCCTGGAGCCGGGTATAGGCCCACTGATGCGCGATGTAAAGAACAAGATCTGTACCGATTGCGAATTGGTCGCCCTGCTCGAAGACGACAACGGCATGGAATTGCTGGTCTGTAACAAGATCATGTCGCTAGACCTGCCCGTTAAGGAAGTGTACAAGAAGGTATGTAAACATTAGTATCTTTTATATATTTTGTTTAATTCCTCCTTTAGAATAAAGTATATAATTTAATAATGACGATACTACAATGGCTTTGTTTTGTCTATGAATTTTAAAAATATCATTCTATTATAGTCATTTGCTGAGTAACTAACATTTATCGTTACATTATTTCTCACGTTTGCTGTAGGTGTGGTGTACATCTGGCGAGGGTGTAGATGCAATGCGCGTAGTGTACCGCATGAGAGGTCTACTTGGTGATGCTACTGAAGAATTTGTGGAGACACTGAGCCAGACTAACGCAGAAGCCGTCGATGATGAGCAAGTGTATCGTATGGCGAATGTGCTCGCAGATTGCGGTAAGTGGTGTTACTACACATTGACATTACATTCAGTGAAATCTTTGAATATTTTCTTTCAAACTAGCTTACCGGCCAGATATCTCATTATCAAGTGCAGAGGATTTTTGCAAATATTAAAGAAAACTAAACGAATAACTAACTTTTGTAATGTTACTCGCAACTTTCTTATTTATTGCAAAAAAAATATTAGCGAAATCGGACCAGCCGTTCACGCCTGATGCAATGGGGAATGGGGATCCATTTATTTTATTTATTATTTTATAAATATTTAAAAATATGTAAGAGGATTTAACAGATTTTCTTTAAAAGTATTATTAGGAAAGAAGTAAATTATAACCGTTTAATGCGGTAACATTCAGGCGGTAATATGGAATGTATTGTCAATTTTTCTATGGAATAAGGGAAAATGGAACGATTACAAACTCCCAGAACAAGGGATGTCAGTGACTCAGTATAAATAAGCGAAAATATAATGTACGGTGTACATGCAGGCGGACTGGAGGCGATGCTGCAGCGACTGGCGGCGATCCAGCGCGTGGGCGCTGCACGCGCGCTGTGCTCGACGCTGCTGCGGCTGCTGGCGCTGTGCGCGCGCGTGCGGCGCTGCGTGAACGTGCTCACGCGGGCCACCACGCGCGCGCTGCCCGTGCTGCTGCACGCGCTACACCTCGCAGCGCTCGAGGAGCGCGACATGCCGCGCGCCCACCTCGTCTACCAGCTACTAGAGGTTACTACATTGTACATAGTATAAAATGAAATCGCTTCTGCTCTGTTCGCTTAGACCTTTAAAACTACGCAACGGATTTTAATGCAGTTTTTAACAATAGATATAGTGATTTAAGAGGAGGATGACACATGATACAGATTTGTAATGCATGCGTGCGAAACCGGGACGGGTTGCTAGTATTGTTATAGTTTAAACTTATAAATTGATGACTAGATCATGTGATTACACTGCTATAACTCTCTAAATAATAATTGTCTTTCAGATAATGGAACGTATACTAACGGTCGCCGCAAGCGAGAGCCTCGAATCGTTCCTACAATTTTCTCTAACTTTTGGTGGGCCAGAATACGTTCAAGCTCTGCTCAACTGCACCGAATGTCCAGGTACAGTAAAGGAGAAGTTTATCTATATAAAGTTTTATAGATGTTCCATCTAATGTTTCATCACTAGTGTTGCGATTCGCAATGAAATATATCCGTTTTAATGAGCATTTAATCTTTTTATATTGTCATTTAGGGAAATATAACGCATACGCCCCATAATACATAGCATATTTTGTTTATTAGTTTTTATTAATTTATTATTTAGTATTGGTACTACTAAATACGAAATTCAATAGTATGTTTTTTTTTTTGTTAAAACATAACATGGAATACTTTGTGATTCAGGTATTCGCAACAACTCAGTCGCGCTGGGTCACCTGACCCGAGTACTAGCCGCTCTAGTGTACGGCAATGATCTCAAGATGGCGATGCTCGTAGACCACTTCAAACCAGTATTAGATTTCGACCGTCTCGACTCAGAGCAATGGACCGAAGAAGAATTCCGCATGGAACTGTTCTGTGTACTCTGCGCCAACATAGAGAGGAACTCGATCGGCGGTACACTAAAGGATTATTTGATATCGTTGGGTGTGGTCCGCGATGCGTTAGAGTACATTATTGTAAGTATCTTTTTTTTTTATATAACTCTGGGGACAAACGAGCACGCGGCTCACCTGATGGTAAGTGATTACCGCCGCTCATGAGCACGCGTAACACCAGAGGAATTGCAAGTACGTTGTTAGCCTTTTAAAAAGGTTATGCCTTTTGCTCTTGAAGGTTTCAATATTGTATCGGTTCGGAAATACCATTGCTGGTAGGTAATTCCACAATGTGGTTGTACGTGACAAAAAAATGGCGGTTTCTAGAAAACCGCACTGTGGAGGACCGCCATTCATCCAGATGATCAGGGTGGTATTTTAGTTCCTGGCGGGTGGTTTGGTGGCTCCATACATGCAACATTTTTTCTTTGTTCCTTTGCTACTCATTGGCCGTAGCGTGATGTTATATAAATCTTTCCTAAGCAAATAAGCTATACAATACTGAAATACTTTTTCTATTCTAATCAGGGGTGCCTTAATATGAGCGCGTTAAACTAGAAAATAATATCTTCTTTTTAATATGAATATTGATTGGAACATTTTATACTATAGTTATTATTCTTTTGTTGAATAGAAACACGCTCCATGCGTGAAGCCGACGCTGGTGTGTACTGACTCTGACGAGCTTAAAGAGTTCATCAGTCGGCCCGCACTTAAGTACATACTGCGGTTCCTCACAGGACTTGCCGCCGAACACGAGCCCACGCAGGTAAGGTGTAATACTAATTCTTATATTATGAATTTAATTTTTCTTTTTATTATAGTTTATAATTAAAATTATATAGCTTACATAGATTTATAATGTTGTTGTGGATATTTTTTACAAGATTATATAAGACTAAGGCGCACTTAACATCACTTCAAACTTCGACTTTCCTAATGAATTTAATGTGACAAAATATACTTTTTAACATTTGATCAAAATTGTTTTCTCTCGTGTCAGATCTGTACTAATTATGGCAATACTAGTTTGCCTTAGCTGCTTGCTTGAAATATATAGCCTACGTGTTATTCTGATGTAAAAAAACTATATTACTTTAAAGTTTCATTAAAACCCATTCAATAGTTTTTGCCTGAAAAAATTAAGAAAACGTGAATCTCGTTTTTAATATTAGTATGATATATCGAATTATAAATTGTATAAAACTATGTTTCCTTTTCAGATGTTGGTGTGCGAGAAGGTGATCCCGATAGTGCACCGTTTGGAGCAGGTGTCATCGGGTGAACACGTGGGCTCGCTCGCCGAGAATTTGCTGGAGGCGCTCCGTTCACAGCCGCAGTGCGCCGCCAAGGTGCAGGAAGTGCGCGACTTCACTCGCCAGGTCGGTCATTCTTTGCTCTCTTACTTTTATATTACAGATAATAATAATATCCCTGGACAATTCACAGAATTCCGTCTAAGTCGCAAAATGTTTTTTGCAATTACATGCTTAATATATGGTACATATAAAACACCCAAACCAATACAAAACTATCATACTCATGAATATAAATTTTTGTACCGTGCGAGAAACATTAGTATAAAGTTAGCAAGTTCAGTTAGCTATCATAGAGAATTTACATAGAATTATGTTATACCTACTGCCTAGGTTCGTCAGCTTGTCCTAAGACATAGGTCTTCCAAAAGACTCCATGTTCCTCTGTCTAACGCTTTCCTTCTCCATGTTGGCCCAGACACTGCCCTTATGCCATCCTCCAAAGGAAACGAGTGCGACGAAAAGAAAGTGGCTCCTTTTCTGTCGATCTCATTTCCTTTTTTCATCTCTTGGATTTCAATGTAAGACATCGTTGATCCATTTCCTTTTCTTACTTCTTATTGCATGTCCTGTCCACTTCCATTTCTTGATTGTTTTCACTGCATCTGCAAATTTGGTTTTTTGTCTTATATCATCTCTCTTTCTCTCCCTCTCTCTCTCATCTCATATACAGGAGTCATATATTTTTTTCTCTATGTTTTATAGAGATATTTTGTTTTTTCATTACATTATATTTCATGGACCGGTAGTTTTTCCAGGAGTTACAGATCCTTTTTAATTTTTTTTTATCGAACTGATATCTGATTTTATATATGTAACAAATAAAACTTACTGAAAACAACAAACTAAAGCAAAGAACTATAATGATTTCAAAAATGGATACAACCGACTGAATGTGACTGAGCCTACAGATTGACCAGAACTGAGAGAATTATCAGTCATGGAGACCGTTTCCTGTCATTCCAGTAGAAATATATATTTTTCAAGCATAGCAATATGCCAAGTGTATTTAGTATTGTAGAGGGCACCACATTCCATACTTTAATTATTTTGCTATACGACTTTAAGTAATAAAGCCTATTTATTCCATTACTGTAGGACTCAAAATAAACAAATTAGAATATTTGAAGTGTACCCTCCCTGATCATACTTATTGATCGGTCGTTTGAACTAGTTTTACACTATTCTTTCTCCTTAACGAACGTGTTAACAATTTAGTGCCGGAAACGCAATCCACTCATTTAATATATTTAAACAAACATATTAAACGTTCAAATAAAAATATAAATACTTTAGAAATCATGTATTATTTAGGAGAAGAAACGTCTCGCAATGGCAGTCCGTGAGAGGCAGCTGGGAGCCTTAGGTATGAAGAGTAACGAGCGCGGCCAGGTGACGGCGCAGTGCTCGCTGACGCAGCAGGTGGCCGACCTGGCCGAGGAAGCCGGCGCCGTCTGCTGCATCTGTCGCGAGGGATACAAGTATCAGCCCACAAAGGTGAGTGATTATTGAATATTCATTTATGTAGGTTTTTACAAAAAAAGGTTGATGACCGATGTGAATATTATGAATAAAGCAATGATAAGTATTATAATTTAATGTTAATTATTGTTTTTCAAAGTAATCTCTGCGATATGTTATGCACTTTTGCATGCGTTCAAACCAGTTTTTAAAACATTTATTCCACTATGAAGTGGGAGTAGTCTAAGTGGCGGACTTATATGCATAAATAGCTTCTTCGGGTAAGGTGAAACGTTGACCACGAATACTGCTTAATTTTGGGGTACGTAAAACGAACTTGCATTGTCATGGTGCAGTTTCCTTGGACATCTTGAATTGTTTTTTTTTTAATTGGTGATGCCTTGTAACAAACAAACAATGATATACCAGTCTGCGGTAACCATCGCGTAATGTCTGCTAAAATTTACTACGTGAATAAATGAATTTGAATTGATTTGTTCAGGTGCTGGGTATCTATACCTTCACGAAGCGCTGCCCAGTGGATGAGTATGAGTTGCGCGCCCGCAAGACGCTTGGCTACACCACCGTGTCGCACTACAACATCGTGCACGTCGAGTGTCACATGGCCGCCGTCAGGCTAGCACGCGCCAGGTAACTTACTCTACATCGCGCATCGTACTATCAGATGTAACGCCGCCATTTCACTCTCAGCGAGATCGCTCGACAAATGTCTCGGCGGGACATTCGTCGAGGCGTGGACCAGCGAGTGGCCGGGTATATTCATTACACATTTATTTCAGTCTCGTCAGATTTGCACGCGCTATTCTTACTCTTTTTTCTTTACATACTAACGTTCGACAATTCTTGGTTTTTTGATAATTAATTAAGTAGTTATACTGTTGGAAGGCATCCTTTTAATGGGATTATAATTTAGTCAACAAATATTGTTACTCTGTTTACTGAAAACTATTAAAATATTGTTACTCTGTTAACTCAGGTTAATTGAAAATAGCTAAATTATCAATATTATGGTAAATTGTGAATCCTTACCAATATGTAATAGTTTGTTACAATCCATTGATTAGCTGAATATATTAAAAAACTGACCCGGCGAACTTCATACCGCCTAATGTATAAATATTAACATCAATATTTATTCGATACTATAGTCACTCAATTGTTTTTCCTTCCCGGAACCTCGAACACTTAAACTTTATGGTGTGGTATTAAAGTTCAAATTGACTGTTTAGTATTATTACGAATTGTTAGAAAAATGTTGTTTTAGACTTTTTCAGGCAATTATTAACTAAATATATTATTAATTTCAATAGAGACGAGTGGGAGAGCGCAGCGTTGCAGAACGCATCTACTCGATGCAACGGCCTATTGCCGCTGTGGGGGCCGCACGTACCCGAGTCGGCGTTTGCTAGTTGCCTCGCTAGGCACACTACTTATCTGCAGGTAAAATGACAAATATCTTGTTATTTAAATAGAATAGAATAGAAAATCATTTATTCAAATAAACTTAATTTAAACACTTTTGAATAGTCATAACAATTTGTTTTTATCTACCACTAAGAGATATAAAATTAAACTAAGTAAAATAATGGTATATAAAACTAAATTAATTATAGTAAAAACTTTTCTGATTTCCTATTATTCAAATTTTCGGTTAGGTACTTTACGATGAGAGCCAAGGGGCGTTTGCCCGCCCTATCCCATCGTCGCTATTTCCATGATTGCACTTATAAAATTGTACAAATGTAGGAATGTACCGGGCACCGCGACATCGGGCACACTTGCACTGTGCACGATCTGAAGCTGCTGCTGCTGCGTTTCGCTCGCGGCCGCTCGTTCCATGACGACACCGGTGGCGGTGGCCCGCTCTCCAACATGCAGCTCGTGCCTGCGCTCATACACATGGCGCTATACGTCATCAATACGTGAGTTTCTTTTTTAATTTGTTTCTAGTTGTTTCTAATTTCTTATTATATATCAACGGAAGAAAGCGGAATTGTCGTAACTTGAAGAAATCAACATCAGAGGCCAAAACCTTTTTCAAAAATTCTTATTTCATATATTTCTGGAGGAATTGGTTAAATACTTACCTATTTTCAACTTTCTATCATGATAAATAACTATGTGAGCTTATCAAGTTACGACAATACCGCCGACGATTGTCATCATCACATATAGTATACGAAAATTAAAAAAAAGCAAGCTACTGTGCGCTTAAAATAGGTATATATATATATATATGAAAGTTAACGCTGTGTGTTTGTGTATGCGTATGCAGGTCGCGCATTGCGGCTCGGGAAGTGAACGCGCTGGAAGCTCATCGCGCGTTGCCGCTGTCAAGACTGCTGGAGTCGGCGCACGACGCCGAGGGGGCGATCTACTACCTTGTGCTCAGTCTACTGCTCTACCCGCACGACAAGTATGCAAACACCCACCCTCTACTGTCTATGGCACAAAGTTACAATACAACGAACATTTTATTTATACACTATTGCCATGGTCGGTGTAGCAGCACGCAACAGGAAACTGAGCCCAGTGCTACAATGGTTTCGTTTGGTCCTCTTCTTCTGTACCGCAACGAAGGCATCAAAGTCACGGTCACCACACACACGTAGCAGCCACTTACACACGTAGGTCCCATCTTTGGCAAGTGACACTGTAAAGATGGTTTACTAGCGGCAACGGTATCAAATCTCGACGCTATTGTTGTTTTGCCGTCGTGGCCACGTATATAATCATCAGCATCGATTCAAAAATACACACAAATCCGTCATCGCAAACATTTGTATTCTTGAGTACAATTGTTTGTATCGGTCTTAGTGTTTACTATATATATGTATGTATTTACAAAAAAATCTAAATATTTATTTCAGTTGTCCACCCATAACACAAGCTCTGCTAACCATGGGACTAGATGGCGCTATGTGAATCGGCCAGGGTTATTATTATTATTACAGGGTCGTGTTCATAATCCTGGGTTATGTATTTATTTATAATAATACGTGGTAAAAAGTACTCTGACTATCTTGTTTCTCTAATATGGTCCGTGGTCGGTTACAGGTGGTTCGAATTGCGCGCGGAATGGATACGGCGCGCGCTGACTACTGCGCACGCGCGCTCTCTGGCACCGGGCGGGCCCCCGCTGCGCGCGCTGACCACCGAGCAACGCACGCCCGAGCACTGGCGCGAGTACAAGCCGTACGTCATCATGGTCGGCATCGTGGACCTGCTCTACACTGTTATGTTCAAGGTACGAGTATCTATAGTTGTCACTCGTATTGTACGTACGCTCGCTGACGCCCGAGCATATAAAAGAAGTTGCTAGGTAAATTGTCTTGATATGCGCATGTTATATGGAGGAGCGAGCAGTGTGTCTTAAAGAAAGAATTTAACTTAACCGTGTATGAATGGAAGGAGAGAGGACGTCCAACATAAAGATGTATGGTTTGTATGAAAGATAATATTTAGAAAAGGTAAGCTCAGATTGATGTCAGATAGGCATAATGGAAGATTTATTATAGTAGATTTATAACTTACGGCACCTATCCCAATTAATGGGAGCAGGGCAAGACCAATGTTGATAATGATAACGAGATAAACTTTATAAAAAGTACTCTGCGTGGGAGTCATTAATCTCAGTCCCACTAATTTAAATCGAAGTTTTGTAATATGCATCTTGATTGAAGGATAAAGCATTAAAATAATAGGATACGAGACATGGACATTTTAGTCTTCCAAAATGATAACGTATGAGCGTGACACGAACGTCACTTGATAACGTGATGTGCGTAGTGTTGTTCATGCATATAGGCGACGGTTACTACTTACCATAATGACAATCATATGTGGTTTTACAACTTGCTTTCAAATTGTATTTAGTTCCAATTAATACTAAAGCCATTTGGACTAAAAATACAATGTTTTTGTCTCGTGTACTACTTTTTTATTAACTTAGGTTACGTTACGTTACATTAAAAATGTAATGCAAAATTTAGTTTCTAGCAAAATCGAAAGGTCAATTCTATTACTAAATTCAAACGAATTTATAGTTTGAATTTTTGATAGGTGATTTGAGTGAACTGCATATATAATTTCGCAATTATTCCACAATGGGTTATATTGACAAAGACTAGACAGTACGCATGAAAGTATTTCAAAACATATGGTACATACCAGCTGTATCTAAAGTTCATGGTGATATTTTTTAAAATGTCATATGGAATGAACTTATCCAGTCATACTTCATGTATTATTTTCTTTCTACAATTTAACCACAAATAGATTTTGTATTAAGTATTTGTAGTAGTCCCGCAATTTGCCCTTTGTGTTTCGGTGTGAAAACCGAAATTACTGAATATTTTCATGTTATGAATCGAGATTGCTCTGGTGTTTTATATTTAGTTATTTTTAGAAGTCTATTACCAAAATATACATTTATTCTGTGTTTTCCCAATTTCACAAAATATATCCTTGAATGTACGAAGGCAAGAGGCGAACCGTCTTTCCTTGCAGCATTGTATCATTGGAGAACCAATAAAGAAAAATCACTTTCATAAAACAACATTCACATTCTGGGACTTATAAATCCGAGTAGTAAATACTTCGAAAGAATGTAATTAATCAATTTTCCACAGAACGTAACGGCCACGACACCTGACCAGTGGCCGATAAAGTTGGCAGAATACATCCGTCATAACGACGAGGCGAATGCTAGAGCTGCCGAGAAGATCGTTACAATACTCACAGAAGAACTACTGCCTTGTACATCATTCACCGAGTTCTGCGATGCATCTGGCTTCATAAAAGACATACACAGTCCCTATAATTTCCATCTGGCAGTCTTAGAGGAGCTTCCTTGAGGAAGGGTTTTCGTGCCACACTGCCTCAGTTACAATGGATGCATGGCTTCTTAGTACTATCAGATATATCTGTTTTATTTTTTATTAATCGCTTGAATATACTTTTCATATACGTAACCCTATTCTAACTCTATATTATATATACGTTTGATATCATATAGGGTTCGAATTGTTGCGTTTAAAAATACGCCTATAATTGCACATTAATAATAGTCACATATAACAAAATTAAATGATATTTAATGAGTAACACTGTATGCTTGTAGTCTCTTAAAATATTGTGTCTATGTATCCACTTGTATTCAGTACATGTAATTTTCGATTTCATCAATAAATAGTTCAGCTTCAATGTTTGTTTTTGTCTTATTACCTTCCTTAAAATCACTATAAAGTTTAAAAAAATATAAGGGGTGGACAAACGTTAGGTGGAGGGTATGAAAAATAGATAGTAACCGATTCTCAGAACTACTGAATATGCATATAAAATTTCATAAAAATCAGTCAAGTCGTTTTGGAGGAGTATGGTAACTAACACAACAATTTTATATATAAGATTAAAAAAATATTTATTTAAAAGAATGATATCTGAATTAATTTTTAAGAAGAATTGCGTGTTTTTTTACATCCGTAATTTCAAAGTGGTTAAAATAAACAATATTCTTTTAATCTTACTAATAACATTATAAATGCGCAAGTTTGTGAGTATGGATAATAATAATAATATAATAATAATAATCTCAGGACAATTCACACAGCACCATCTAGACCCAAGTTAAGCTAGCTAAAGCTTGTGTTATGGGTACTAGATAACTGATACAAATACATAGATATTTTTTTTTCGTAAATACATACTTAATATACATAGAAAACACCCAGACCGACACAAACAATCATACTCATGAATACAAATGTTTGTGCCGTGCGAGGAATCGAACCCGCGACCATCGGACGTAAAGCGGTGTGTTAGACCGCTAGACCACCGAGGTCGTCATGATGATTGTTTAGATGGTTGTTTATTACTGTTTCATGCAGAAACTACTGAACGAATTTTATTGACACTTTACTGTGATATAGCTTATACACTTAGACTATAAATTTCACGCGGTTGAAACCGCGGGCACAGCTAGTTAGAAAAGGTTCTTTCAATGTTTGAGGTTGCGTATTTCAAAGCAGTTGATTATTGCTTAAAAGACACTCCTACACTTCTACACCTACCTACCGCCTGCCGACAATGCCAGCCGAGGATGACACGACCTTGACAACTGCGGTACATTATTTAATGTGATTTGCTGAGTTGCGCAGCGCAGGTGATATGTCGCTCGTGATTAGAACGCAGGAGTCACGATGTTTTTCTTGCGAAATGGGGATTAGGTTACAATGCCAGATACTGTATCTTTATATACCACCATCACGCCTCACTATATCTATATAACTATAGCAACTATTTATACTGTGATATTCTACTAAACTATATTGGTTGATATACATATGTATAATGAGAGTGGCAAGTTGTGACTACTAGTACAGAATAAATTTTGTGGCTGACGAAATTTTAATTGTAAATGTATATAGTTACCAATACCATCGAATACTCGAACATTAGATAACGCTGTGTTGTAAAATGCTACACGCGATGTCCGTAAAAATCCCATACATAATGAAGGCGAATATCATATAAACAACAATAGGTGTCACACTACATTTTATATTTTTAATTGAAAATATACTCCCGCTGCCTGAGCTGACTGAAATATGAATAACATAATTTATTTCAATAAAGTATGAGAAAGATCTTTATGTCTACATGTAGTAGTTTTATTTTTATATGTAGATATATAGGTATATAAACATATTAGGAATACCGTGATTCTATATACTCGTATAAACGGTTGTCTACAAGTGTAAGTATATAAAATTATTATTATTATGTTATTTAAAATTGTACAATAACAGAACTATAAATTTAAGTAAAAAATTTAGTATTAAAAAAACATTTCTAGTTAGTCTGTAGGTACATACAACACTAAAAGCCAACATTCCAGTAGTCAACTAGGTATGAGTATTGTAATTGTTGTTAATTATAGTAAAGGGATTCGACCGAATAGTCGCTATTCATATAACGATTGCATATTTATTACTCCATACAACTGCACTTTGTACACATTTATTGAGTTCATTACTCCGTCTTGTTCGAAAGCTTTTGAAACTTTTTTTTATTGTTCAACTTATGATCGGTTTTTGTTACGTGTCGAGGACATTGATCTTGAACATCCAATGAACTTGTAAGTATCTACCTACGTAAGACGACTGTGAATGAGAGAATGATTGCTCAGCAATTTTTCGAGCTGGTATGTTGTAATATGGTAATTCATTATCGTTTTATTTTCAAGTAAGTTCGGTACCTACCGTACCTTACACTAAATGGTTGAACTAAATGAAAATTCTCGACTATCGATTTTCTTCATGTAGAACAATCGTTCGACATTATGTATGTTAACAATAAACTAATTTAGCTGGATATTTTTTAGAGAATGTCTTTAAAATTTTACCTCATTATTAACAAAATTTTTCCTTATGTTATCATTAAAGTTTAACCTAAAATATTCTAAAAAAAAATCTAGTTGGACAATTTATTACTACTGTATGCTTCGATCAGACGATACATCAAAAATATTCTTTATATGGAAGGAAATAGAAGAGTTTCAGCATAATGGACTAACGCAGTTGAGAACTCTGCAATGCGATATCAAAAAGACCCTAAAAGCTTCATGAAAATAATAAAATCCCAAAAAAATATTTAAAACATTTATTTCAAAATAAACATTTTGTAAGTTGTAAAACATCGTTTACGTTACAATGAGCCAAAGGATTAATTAGCTTAACAAGTATAAACATTTTATACTTACGGAAAATTCTTTTTATTGTTAACTTAAAATAATTTATTCACACGATATAAATAAACTTATGTATTAACTTTAAATTCTATTTAATATTACAAGAATCGAAATTGAAAAAATCACTGTCTGTTAAGTATGAATTTAATCATATTTTTGAATTCAATCTGAGTATCCAAGTAAAGTTTTAAAATATAGTAACAATGAATATAATTAAATTCTCTTAGCAGATATGAGTTATTCCAATTAACAAATTTCACATTTGATATTTAATCATTGGCTTTGGATTTACTTTCACTTTGTACTTAATACAGTTGAGACAAAGCGTCTAAAAATAATTTTAACAAAATTGTAACTTTATTACAATAAGCTCATTGATACATGTTTTCTTGATTTCAACATTTCTTATATTCTGCTGAATGTTTTTACAAGGTCATTTGCCGCTAGGACAATCTTTAAAAAGTATCTACTTGAAACCAGCTATCCTATCATTTTTACGCCATTAATAGACGCATCCGGTCATACTAGTAAACTAGAATCTTATCTCATTTCATCTCAATCAAATGTTATTTTATTAAAAATGACATACGTATATTTACATATTCCTTCTATATAGATACGTAACAAATACTTCGAACTACAGTAACAATTTTCTCGTGTATATCAATGAGCTTATTCTATAATAAATTAACTTGTGGCTACGGCTACGAGGAATGTACGACACCAGCAATATAAAACAACTATCATAGCACTCGTAATATTCAATAATTTATAATATAAAGGCACGATTTGCTTGTCGCGCGACATTCACATGTCGCGTAGGTATTTCTCGTCTTAGTTTAGAAGTCGTACGAGCCGGCTTCTGCTTTTCCAATGCGGAACACGAGTCGGTAGAAGAGACCGGCAATTATGCCTCCGGAGATAGGTCCCACCCAGTATACCTAAAAATAAACATTATATTAGTATTTTTTAATCGAGGATGACAGGGGCGCCTGCGCCAGAGTTATGGCCGGGTACCATTGTGATGAGCCATCATGATGAAATCACCAGGAAATAACCACAACGGTTTTCAGGTTTATACCTGAAAACCGTTGTGGTTATTTCCTGGTAGTATGTGGTTATTTCCACGTAGTTATCTACGTGGATGTTAATCTGATAACTGCGTCCCCATTGCTAGCAATGTACCGTGACATTGCTAGCAATGGGGTCACTAGTCCCCATTACTTAACAATAGCTATAATATATTAACTATATTAGTATTTCGGGCACTGCATATTTTTGCACCCCGACGCTGAATATAATTTAGTAGATGTCTCTTTTTGAGATTTATATCGTACATACTAAACGTATCAAATTTATGGCCTCCTTAATGCTTAGTGAAAACCTATATGATAACAGTCGAATACAAACAAAAATTATCAAAATATTCCATGTCACTAACTATGAAGGTAGCATATTTAGATTCGTAACACCCGCATTTACGTACCTAGAGGTATTTGTTGTTGGATAAATGGCGACTATATTATAATTCACAGAAATTACATTTGCAATATTTAATATCCAGGTAAAACTAGTATTCATTATTTAAGTCACGATAAGCGGTGAAAGCAGAACCCGTCGAGAAAACAAGTCGTAACTCATCATGGAACACAGACATATGTACCTATTTCAGAATCAGGTTTAGATTATTATCCATGTGCGGTGAACATCAAGGCCCAAATCTAAAGTGTGTATGTTACATAATTCTTGCGTACATGTCTTAGAATCATATTACAATATGACACAAATAATTGGAGTATTCCAGTCACGCTTTCTGATATTCGAAACGAGGTGGTAATTGAGAAACAGAATACGAGAGAAGTGTTGATTGAAAACGGTGTAGTGACAATGGTTGAAATGACTGTTGTAGTCTACCGCTCAAGTGACATATCCGGAACATGTAGATATAGTATGAATTCTAAATAAATTATTGCTATGGAGATACGAAGACTTTTCTCTCTGTATTATCAAATAATAATGTACTTACTGGTTAACAACGACGATGATATGATCATCACGATCAATAATTTATGGAAAGAGTTAACTAAAATAGGAGATCGAACCTGAAATCATCATAGAGACGGTAAAATTGCAACAATTTGGCCATTGCGAATGAATCTACAACGTCTATTTGCCACGTAGGATCAAATACTATGTACCTATATAATACCTATTTATATTCTGGTCACTCAATATGGAACTAGTTTATTGCATGGATGAAATCGTGAGGATCGTCACAGGATTTAATGCTAATTTAAAAATAAGGAAAATATGTCATAACAACGTGAGAATAAAATAATTACAATTTAACATTTAAAACTATCACCTAAATATTCAGCACTTCGTAGTATGGACATCCTTAGCATTGTCAGTAAGGTAAGTTAAGTTTAGTTTTGAATTCGTAATGAAAAAAATATTTACCCAATGTGAAGTCCAGTCATTTTCTACGACAACAGGCCCGAAGGATCGCGCCGGATTCATACTGGATCCAGTGAAAGGTATCTACCGAAGATAAAATATATATTTAGCATAAACATATTGCCTAATTAACTACCATATAATTTAAAACGCAATAAAAATGAGTTTTCGGTAAAAGTAATTTCTAGAATAATAATATTTTGATAAAAAATATTACATTTACAACTTAAATAAATTACTTAATGCAATTAAATTGCATTAAGTAATTTATTTCTGATCTTAAATATGCAACCTAATATATATATATATATATATATTGTATTTGTGAATGCGTAATCGTTGGTTTTCCAAATAACAGTAAACAAATATATAAGTACGAGTACTGAGGATAATAATAAAAATGTAGGTATAATATACAGAACGATATACCTAACAGTCAAATGCGCAATTTTATAATTACTGGTATGATCACATTAGGAAAATTATTAATATAAATTTATGAAAATGGGTAAATAAATATATTTATATATACATATAATTTACAGAGCGTGATTCAGGAATGAACAGGAGAAAAGTTTAAAATAATATTGATGAAGAAGTAAAATAGGTACTTACGCAGGCAGCGTGACATGCAGTGATGGCGAGACCAATGGCGAGAGGTGCAGAGCCTTTGACGTCGTTTCGCTTTCCATCACATACTCCCATCACCACCATCACCAGGACGAAGGTGATGAGCGCCTCTATTAGCACCGCCTGCACATATTACACCATAAAAACTAACTATTCAACAGTCTTATACAGAAATATAAAACATAGATACACATAAAATATATACACGTATAATATGCTATTTACATTTATATTTTTCTGTAAACTATCACAGTTTATATAAAGCGAAAAGGAATATTATTAATTCTATTTATTTATTCAAACACAACATCAGAAAATATTTATAAGTATATTAATAACTCTGCTAAAAAGCAGGATAGCTTTATATTTAATAACTAGTCATCAATTAATAAATGAGTATTAAAAAAAAATAGCAAATATCTGTTTAGATATACATATTTAGATTTAACATGTTAGAGATGAACGATGATGAATATACCTGGCCATCGGTTATGCCCTCTCCTGGTTGAGTAAGGCCAAATCCTCGCTTCAAAGCTTCTTCGTTCACAGCCAACTGTAACGAAAAGGTTGCATTATTAGTAAGTCCAATCTTGGTTAATTGCTGAAGAATTATGCACTATAATAATAAAAACCCAGGCCGATTCACACAGCGTCATTTAGTCTCAAACTAAGCAAAGCCTGTTATGGATTTTTAGTAAAAACTGATACAAATACATTTACCCTGGACACGAACAATCATTCTTATGAATACAAGTAATGCGGGGAATCGAACCGGCGATCACCGTAAGCGGTGTACTTAAAAATTTTATTACCGGAAGGTATCAGTTCTGGTATCTATACAAATTACGCAGCCGTACGTCAATTATCTATTAAAAAAGACTGACATAAATATAATATAACAATCAGATGTTGGTTTTATTCGTAACGTTACGCTATACGGTATAATCTTGGGAATTCTCAGGAGATGGGAACATGGTATGATTGTATAAAGTGAATTTGTGAAAAGCTTTGTTTGTCATCACAAAGGAAAACAGAATTGCATGCAAATGTTAGAAAGTTAGTGTGTTGTGTTTATTTAATGCTTGATTATGCATATGCAGCATACACATTTTAGTTTGAATCCCGGTTGTCCAATGGATGTAGTACCTATTATTTTTAAAGGACTCCTAAAAGTTCGATATTGTAAAAATTGATCTATGACGATTATTATGGTATAAAACAGTATGTAATATAAATCCATTTAATAGAAAATCCTCTATTCAAACGAACTTAATTTAAGCACTTTTGAATAGTCATATTATTCTTGTTTTAATCTACCGCTTATTCGGAAAGCTGTCTCATTACAAGATGAATGAGCAAGAAACTTGCGTGTTGCTCTTTTAAATAATCGTCATAACTTTACATTTTTAAGTCGTAATTTGTGAATACAAACTACCTACTAATACAAATTTATTAGGGTCAAATATTAAATACATAAAAAGATTAAATTAGTCGTAGTGATTAGAGCAGACCATTTCCTATAAGCAGCACTTGTTTATGATACTAATAATTATGAAAATAGTATTATTCTTAAATTAAAACGACTAAACTCTATCTGTAAGAAAATCAAAGATGTGAATAAAACTGTTTTTTAATAAATTTGAAAAAAAGTTTATGTAATGTGCATGTATAATATTATGTCTATCCAATAAGGCATTGATGAGATACAATGAGAGAATAAAGTGCAATAATCTGTAAAATGAAGTGGATATTTCAACATCCGGTTAATTTATCTGCACATATTATAACTGCTCCTTATTTGTTGAGTTAACCACACGACAGTGTGCTAAATATGCTAATAGATTGTGATATGCACAGACAGTCGTGATTCAATAAATCGATGCTCTTTGCTGGTTTGTTAGCAAGACGCCTGCCAGCGAGTAAAATGTCGCAGCAACGCCCAAAGGTTACATATGCGAATAATAAATGACTCTTGTCTCAGATAATTAGAAGACGAGCACGTTATACTTATTTCATTTGCATTTACTATGAAAGGTTAAGATAATCAATACGTTTGCATGTAAAGGCAGACACGAACTGGCTGCAATAAAGTTACAGTTAGCATGGTAAACATAAGAAGAATATTGCAGGGTTTATTAAAGATTCTTAAACTGAAAGTACATGAAAAAAACTACCTTTTGGAAAATTTGATACTAACGTTATAATAGGATTTAGAAGTAATAAGGAATAGCATACTATGGCTAGCAGTGTCAGGGCCTTAAGCAGATCTTAAGTTTCCTCACACTCCCTGTGAAAACTCATTAATTAGGTTATGGCACAAAGGTTTAGTAGAGATAGATGTGGCTTGGTTCGTCTATACCTACATACACATGTCAGTGATAATAGCTCTATCAAATATATTTCTAGCACCAAGTAACTTACTTGAGAACTATGCTTTGTTTTGAAGCTATGTCACTGAAATAATGTATAGATATTGTTTCAAACTCAAGATGACACAAAAAAGCCAGACCGGTATCTTTAATTTTTAAAACAACCACGTGGTTGCGGTGAACGCTTACCACAATATGGTTATTACAATTTGCTGTTTATAAAAACATAATCAAAATATGAGGAAATAATTAAGAGATTATAAATGAATCCACTAACGAGTTTCTAACGACTACATTAATTTTACAATTCTCTGTGACATTAAAAGGACTCATCCATTTAGTATCGCACACCTGGTGACATTAGTACAACTACATCCATTTAGCAAAGTAACTTAATTGATTATACACACATACATGTATAGTGAACTCGATTCAAGAGCGCATCGAAGGTCGTTGATTCATTTTGGTCTTTTATTCTCAGATCATCAGTGTCAGGGCAAGCGAGATAGTTCTAAGTGTCATACGCCTGAACTGTACTTGCTACAAGTCGTTAAGAAAATTCTACATGTTTAACTATAGATTACGTAGTGTACACATTGAGGTTGATTTAAACTATACAAGAGAATCCTCCCTCTTCACGTAGGGGAAAATTTAGAACAGTAAATATTATTTAAAGAACCTATATAAGTATCATAGATATATAGAATACTTTTCTGTGTGGACAAAATTTGATGTAGACTTATCACTACTTTGTATAAATTGTAAGTTGATTTTGCGTAGTATGTCAAAAGGCTAAAAATAATGTAATTTGGTGATATCTCATATTTGTAGAAAGTTAAGTTAGTTGCGGCCCCTAAAATACTGCAATTGTGTAGTAAGTATGAATAAAGACAGCATGATTCTCATTCAGTTTTCTTATTCACTTTGTTATTCTAGTCTAAATCTACCTTACAGAGTAACATTAAACGTAACCAATGCTAAACAAATGAGGTGTATAGTAATAATATAGAGATAAGAAAATTATTATGGCTTAGCGGCCTAGGTGTTAAATGCTAATAATAGCATTGTACCCATACACAACTATTAGGTTTTAGTAGTTTTTTTAGTTTTCTATATGAAAAACAGTTTTTATATTGTCAATAAACATTTATAAATAAAGCTTGTGATTATTTGAACATGGCGAGGACGATCACTACTTTAATAGTAATAGTATGTTATCTGTGGTAATAGTGAATTTAAAGGTGTGAGGGAAACGTGAAAGTGTAAATAGTATCTATGTATTTATGTTAGAATTATTAGCTTACTTTAATTAATAATAAAAAATAGATATTACACTTTTCAATATAAGTATTAAAAGGAAATATTTTACCCATTTAAATGTGACAGAGGGGGATGGGAGCGTGATAAACATTACTAAAACTATATATAATAAAAACGAAATTATAAAAGAAATTGAAACATACTCTGATGAAGGCAGCACCAGCGACAGCGCCGAGGGTCTGCACGACGACGTAGAACAACGCTCTGAGCAGCCTTATTTCTCCAGCAAAGAACAGGCCGCACGTGACTGCAGGGTTAATGTGACCACCCGAGACGTGTCCGATTGCCTGCACCAAAACATAAACAAAAATAAGTAACATTCTATAGTATCAAAATTTAAAAGAATTCATTCGTGGAATCTAAGTTTTCTCAGACATTACCATTTTAGAGGAGCTTCTTCCCGCAAACACTTAGATTGTGGAACTACTTACTATACTGTGTGCACTGTAGCATAGGGCGGATGACAGTTACTAATTTCACATTTAACGATTGCTACATTTAAGTTAATTAATGATTTAATATATTACGAATGTGGTACAACTGAAATACTAAGTCATAATTTGTAAATTGCGGCAACTTTTAAGAGTTAAAAGAAACGTTAATCAAACTGTCACTAGCACCATGTGTAGCATGGTGTAAGCTTTCTCTAGAGACTACAGACAAGATGGTATTTTTCAAGAAGGGAATAGTAAGATGTCTTAATAATAGGCAATGGGCAACTGACAACCCTGGTGCTTAAGGCGTCATATAGCCTATGTTAATTGTTTATAATCAGATGGACAGTATGCTTTTTTACCACCATTGTACCAGCTGCCATTTTGCAAAAATCTTGCGTCGGTACCTCCATATTTCAGTTGCCAAGCAGTTTGCATTGTAAACTGACTTTTGGTTGGAGGGTGAGTATAACAGTGAAATTATAAGGTATTTCTCTACAAAAGTTACTTCTAAAGAAGTACATAATAATCTTAAGTGAATAATATGTCTATCACAAGAATTTTAACAACCCTAACAAATCCTACGCGTGACCGGGCGTGCGTAATATATGCTTGTACAACACGCTCTAACACTGACCTCTGAGTCATTTGCTCTACAACACAACTCCCTATCATAGGTCAAGAATATAACAGTTAATTAATAAATGAAATAAAGAATTGTTCAAATGTTATGTTTACAGTATGCGAGAGGTGTCTGTACGTCACGATGCACACTTCTAGTAAATCTGAGTCAGCTAATGTTATGTCAGAGGTCAGATCTAAACGATGGGGTCATTAAAGAGTTCGAAAAATACAATGAACAACCTTGACAATTTCGACGTTTAGAGCGAAATATTGCATAGACTAAAATTGCTAATTTTAATATATTAAATCTATTATTTCAACATTCTCGCATAAAGGTATTAAAGTATTTCTACAATATTGAAAATCTAGTAGACACTTATAAAAATATATCATTCCTATACAGAAAAAATAAAATTATGTAGCTCTTAATTATGCTTATGCTATTATATAATATTAGGTAAGAGTAGATAAGATTATATTACGTAAATACTATATTATCAATGATTTCTGAAAAAATGAGTTCACGATCAAAATATAACTCATGAACCTCTTTGTACTCAATTAAGTAATGAAATAGAGGTTTTTCGAGGACCTAATAAGGTAAATAAAAATATTGTACAATATAAAAACTATTTACACAAATACATTTATGAGTTGTCTACATATTGGTAATTAATTACTAAGTACCTAAAGCTAATCTATGACTTCGCCTGTTTTGTTTTAGATAACGGATAGTATCCTTGTGATACAGAAAACAGATCTTTCATACATCAAATTTCATGTAGATATCGTACTGTTGGATTTATAGTATCGATGATTTATAAAATAGCAACAGAAACATAACCTGGATGTTTACCCAGGTTAGGTTAGTTAAAATATACATAAAACTAATTCATAAATATATTTTTATTGCCCGTGAAATGGCAATCGGAAATGCGATGACATTTGTTAATATTTCAAATTTATTAATGGCCTGCGATCGTTTACAACATTATTCTCACGTTTGTGCAGATCATATTGATCTATGAGTTCATGATCACAATTTTAAGTGTCAAAATAGCAATATACTATACGAATATTTATATGCAGAGCATATATTCAATATCCTTGGATATAATGACTAAACTGTGGGAATAAGAAGTAGGTTCCCCACATACAAAACAGTATTAAACTCAAGCTCGCGTTTCGGGGCTGAAGGTGTATATTAAGATCTTATAATAAATGTCTTACAATACATATTTTTTATCTTATTTACTTATTTATTATTAATATAAATAAAATAAAATTGTAACGTGGCGAGTACGTCGTAATAATAAAATTATTTGTTGTCTTAGTATATCTATTGCTCTTTGTAACATAGCATATATAGATATTGTTTCTCATTTTAATATTGGTTGGTATAATAACTCGAAATATCAGGACTGTGTTAAAGATAACGAACAAAAAGTATTATATAACTAAGATAGTATTTATTGTTTTAATATTAAATTTTGTGTTTTTGTATGTATAAGGTTTATGTTCGTTTTTGTTTATAAACTTATTGATTGAATTCGCACACATTCACATTCAATCCGACTTGAATTTACGAGGTGCCATTGCAATAAACTTTATAAAAACCTTCCTTGGAAAGAAGGCCGCAAGTAATTTGCCAGTTCATAGTAAGTTAATGGCCAATGATCTAACACGAATAAATTACCAATTTGCCAATGACATAAGGTTAGCGGTATTTTGACCGTGACAATGAGCTACACAAAATACATCGACTATATTTTAATTACTAATTAAACCACATATTGAATATGACTCACAAACCTTGATTGCATGTTTTATTAATAACGAAAACGGTAGCTTCCTTATTAGGTAATTTGTCATGCTCACCTCGATTAATTTTTGGGGTTAATTTTATGAAAGAAAGACTCATTTAAAGAATAATATTTTGTATATACACGTCAATAACGTTTTATCCGTCGTTTATTTCTTTCATCGTTTATTGTTGTTTAACCCGTGCACATAGTTCAAAAGAGAATGTTTAAAGTACTTAATTAGTTTATTATATAAATTATTGCGTTTATTAAAATTACATTAAAACTATTTTGTACTAATATTTGTATATTTTTTACTAAATTATTACACCCTGTACTCATTAGGGATAAAACACTTCTTTTTTATATGAAATATAGCATTATGACGGCCGTGGTACCTCTCACGCGTTGCCATATTCTGGAAGAAGTTTAAGTTATTATGTCTCCAAGTACTGTAATTTATTTGTAATGTGTCACACTTAAAATCGCCTTTAATATAATTTCAAGAATGAGATCTAAAAATGTAGAGGATATATTTATGTGATATTTCTGTAAAGTTCACTTTATGTAATGTTATTAATTTAAATTAATATATTGTCCTTGTACTCTTAAATGTATGTAATTAAATAAGCAATCATCGAGTCAAGGTTAAAGTTTCAAATTATTTTAATGTTACAAATGTTACTCATTAAGTTATCCAGTAGGTAACTGTAACAACATCACATTAAACATCTATTTATGTATTATGTATATTATAATCATATATTCTGATTGTATTTGTTAGTTCATATTTTATATTAGTGTATAATAATACCTACGTATTTTGGTATAAAATAATAAATTAATTTCAATTATTTTATTTTATAGTATTGTTGGTGATCCGTCATTGCTTCTCATTGTTATACATTATATGTGGCAGAGTTATGCAGATATTATAAATATAAGTAATATGAGAAATCACTACTTGATATTGTAATTTGTACTAAAATCCATTGCGTGTAGTAGAAGTAAGCGTAAAAAGAAGACGGACGAAAATAGCGACTTTGTTTTATATTATTATTATATAACTAGTTGTCCCCGCAACTTCGTTTGCGTGGAATTTAACTTTATTTTTCTAAAATCAAAGTAGCCAAGTTACTTCTTATTACATCAGCTACCTGCCAAAAAAAGTCCCGCCAGCCATTTCAGAGATTAGGCGGAACAAACAGACAGATAGACAGTCAGACAATAATTATAAAAAAATATATTTTGGAGTATGTACCATATTTATATTTATATGCATATACTAAAAAACGGTTATTTCAATATTACAAGCAGACACTCCAATTTTATTTATATGTATAGATTATAGAGACAGGTATAATTGGTGATATATTGTTTTAAACAAATATGAAAAAAGATAAACAACTCGTCTATAGATGCATTTTACCAGGCACAATGCATCTATTGTTCGTATATTTTCAATTCTTATCTGTAGGTATACCAGAATGCATCCATATATTACCAGTTACATATATCGATGTACTTATGTACCTATGAAATACGACTAGAATGTTACAGTTATTAACCTACATACTCTTATATGGTATCAAATAAAAACTTGTAGTATACTGCAGAATTATATTTATTTCTATTCTTGGTATTTAGGTACAGCTATTTGAGCGGAAACCGCACCTAATATCATTGTTAATAAACGCACTATATTTCACGCATTATATTTTCGGTTCTACCACACCTACACATGAATAGTTCTCTAATATATTACATATACATACCTACACATTAAATGGAAACATTCTAAAGCAAAATTCTTACCACAGAGAAAGATTCAAAATAGTCGTTTATTTCATTAATTTTATTTCACAATAGCGAACAAGCTGACCGTCCATGTTATGGTAACTAGTAAACGTCGCCTGTATACTTGAACAGCACTAAGTATATCACGTTATCCACCACGTTACAGAATACTCGTGTTATTGTGTAACGTTACCATTCTAGAGGATTAAGAAATTAGCCTCTTATCTTCTTAATTGTACAGCCTGATCTGACTTTATATTCGAAACATAGCTTACAAATTCTGATCGATCTCCAGTCTAATTCAAACTGATATTGAAATGACAACGGCCAGAGCCGAGGTTTGTACGTGGTAGCAGTGCCTTCAGACTAAAGTCGTATTCGTCCGGCAGGATATAGCCTTCAGCCGCTCCATAAGTTTTTCAGCAGATTTACATTCACCTCTCGGTGAAGATGTAATGTTAGTTCATCTAAAGGTGGACATAGATATATGAATTAGCTGTCCTGTGTATCAACACAGTTTGACTAACATAGTTTGTAATTATTAACCTAATCTAGATCATAAGTATTTGAATCAAATAAATAAATAAATCAGAGACATACTTGTATGTGCTTTTACTAAACTAAAAGTAT